TCGAAAAAATCAATAAATCAGAGGATGAGAGAAGTGGCTAAGGCTGCGCTGACCTAGATTTCGCCGTTGTTTTGAGTCGCGTTGTACTGGATCCAGTCGGTGGCAATCGGGGCGTGGTGCATATGCTCCGGGATGCCAAATCTACGCCACATGTTAGTCAGAATCGATAGTCATCGTCAGATTCCGAACCCTTCAACCAAGTCTTCAGCGATCGCCCCCAATTCTTTGCATTTGGCCTGCGATTCAGCAATCACGGAATTTCCGGCCGCAGGGGTTAAGATCTCGTTGACAGTGAACCAGCCCAAGTCTTTCTCCAGACGGGACAGACCATACAGCGCTCGAATCTACCCCATCTTTTCGTGCTATGTTTGCTTCCATGAGTCATACCGAGTTCAGCGTGTGACGATCCGACGGTTCAGCATATTGAACTGCTTCGACAGTTTTTTCGAGGACCATGCGCTCTCCATACGCAACCGCCGCAGCTTGAATCGCGTCCGATTCGTTCAACATCCACGTGTTGAAGAGCGATTCCTTGTTTGTCTTGGCCCTGGAACAACGTCAAAGTCACCCCACACCAAAACTCCCAGCGTACTTGTGCAAGCGCGCTGCCAGCCCATGGAGCAAGTAATTTTCACGGATTCGAAACAAGCGCAGTTGCCCCTCGGCACTCGTCACATCTGACGGGACTTGGAGGGCCAGTCGCTTGAGAATTCCTGGAAGCTTGGACACGACCGTGTGCTGCGCAACTTCTTTGGGCTATATGGACATATTCGATCACCAAACAAAATACAATCGTTCAAGCAGCACCTTGACGGTAGCGAGCAGTTCCTTGGTGACTTTCTGTGTGAGCACTCGATTGTCTCCTTCGGCCGTGATGCCTGCGTGGGCCCCCGCAATGGCCTCCCCGAATCGATTGGCAGACAAATACCTACGGAGCCCATATATCGATGAAATTGCGTTGGAGGACTGCAGTCGCTCACCCTTGACCACCACATCGCTCGCGGCCGATGGTCGCCACTTGCTCGTTGTTCCATGTCACGAGGGCTTTGATGATGCAGCACAACTGTAGCACTTCCGTGTGATCGTCCTTTGACTGGCCAGCATACCTGCTTTCCTAGTCAGCCTGCCGCCTCCGCCACAAGCAGTACCTGTCCTTGACATAGTTCAAGCCAAAGTTCAACGCGTACGTCGAAGCAATCAGTGGCACAATGCTGCGCTGCTGCAGCTGGTACTTCATGATCGGTGTGTCCGACTTGCCCGTCTCTCCCACCGCCAACCTGCACGGGGTGTGTCAGACATCCTTCACAGGACATGACACTCGGAGCGACGGCAATACCTAGACAAAGAGTACCGCACGACATTGGCAAGCGTGATCTTGGTCCCACCCATGCACATGGACGCAATGCAGACGCGACCGCTGAGCAATTGGTCCGCCAACACGAGGAATCGACCGCGCTTGCTCGTCACAGAGCTCGTAAAATCTCCGTTTGCAGCCACGTCGGACATGCTGTTAAGCAAGTTCCCCCGTGGAATCCGCACGTTATCAAACCAGAGCGCGCCATTGTCGACCCCATTCACGCCGATCTACGGGGTATACGTGGGGCCACCCTACCAGATCATTGAATCACCTTGTGGCCCATGTCCCAGATCTTGACGCCGGGAAGGACCTCATGCGATGCTAAGTCTCTAGTGGGTACGAGGAAACCGTGGATGCCTTCGTCCTTGCCGCCCGTCAACAACCTGCTCGCTTCATGAGATGCAAACGTCAAAATAATGTAGCATACCGTGCAAACACAACCGCATATTGCGCGTGTAGAGCCGAGTTGGTGATCCAATCTGCTCCGCGTAGGTAAGCAAGTGTGTTGAGAAGGGGAGCGTACACTTCTGCGCCTTTGTCGAGGGCGTATTAATGATGAATTCTTCTTTGGCCGCATCGTACGTCGCCGTCGTCTCCATTTCGACTGCGTTATTGCCGTATCCAAGTTCCGTTAGCCCGAAGCACCCGACGTTTTCAAATCGGTCGATGCCGTCGAGGAACGCGCCGTGGTGTCGGTCCGTTCCGAGCTTCAAGACAGTTCCGCCAAAGAGATTGAATTGCACCTACTGCAGGGATGACATCACTGGAGCAACCGCCTGTCGCACCGTCATCTTTGTTGCCATTGCGCCGTCGCACATGCCTGCAATTTCGTGCGTGGTGAAGATGTTTCGAGGGTTCGTGCGAAAGTCCTTCACGGAGATGATGCCGCTTTGGCATAACTTTTTCAGACGTTGGTACGCCAGCTCTCGCTCTTGATCGAGGGGAATGTTATACTTGGGGCGGTAGAGTGGGTCTTTGAACAGTTCCCGCAGTTTGGCGCTACGAGGGGACTGGTCAACAAGCAACCAGATCTCGAGGATGCTGAGGGGCCAAGCTACCGAGTGTCATGATTATCATGATCCAAAAGGCGAGACACCGTCGACGGATTGAATGTGGACAGGTAGCGGCGCTTGGAAGCGGCCAACGACGACAGCATCTTGGGAAAGTTCGAATGATGAAGGATCGCTGTTATGTCAACCCTCTATCCGGATCCGAATACAAAACTGCAACGTTCTTCTTGACGCCCTTCACAGCGACGTCAAGAAGAGCGCTTGATTGCCCCTCTCCAGGCCAGCTGCATGCACGCTTGATACGCACATACTTCATGGGAGATATGTGTAATCCTCTTTCAAGTCCTTTTCAAAGGTCTCAGTGGACAGGAAGCAGCCCAGCAAAGACAAGTGAACGACGAAAACATGCACCGCGGGAAACTACCTGAACAGCTGATGAGGCTCTCGAGCCTCATTAATGTGGCATGGTGTAGCCGCTGCAGTGCAAAGGATAAGCATTTGATGGGGAGAGGGTGTGTGTGCGCCAGCCACTGCCGAGGTTGGATGCCGGGGTGAGTTGCCACGGACCGTAGTCACGTGTCTCCACTTTCGTATTACCTGTATAAATAGATATATTCCATTTATGCATAATGTTGCTAAAAGTTAGATCGAGGTTCGTACAGAGTCGCGGGCGTTTTCCATCAGATATTACGTTTGACAGGGACGCCAAGAAAAACCGTGAGTGGTTTTATTCATTAAACTTATTGTCGTAATAAAACGCACTCGTTCAAATGCACATTGCGGCAACGCGATCGAACTGACCATTCCCACTAAGACACCCGAGAGAGTCGCGGCCGTCGACCCATCCACATCACATGCGGCGCAAACCGGAGACCGGTGGACCGCTACACGACACTCCACCGCACAATGGACGGAGCCGTGCATCTCAGTACGAAGCGCCGCGCTCGGACGTTGGGCTGGAAGGACGACGACGCCACTCGATCGAAGTGAGTGTCAAGCAGCCTCCAGCTTCGCAGTGGTCAAAGGGAAGCGGCGGCTTCTTTTCAGGACTCTTTCAAAAAAAGCCAAGGAAGATGTCAACTGGTCAAGTGTTTTCCATGTTTCGCAAGCCGCCGCGACCGTCATTTGAAGAGATTTCACCGCGGAGCTCGTTGGTATTCGCGGACAGACTGCCCGTAGAATCCCTGGCATTGACGTCGGACACCCAAAAGTTTTGTCAAGTGGAAACCTCCAACGAAACCAGTCGCAATTTGCAGCAGGACGACTTGCTGCACCGTCACCACGTAATTCTCGGTAGCAGTCGTCGGCAATCAGGGGACCGCGCGCGGACAAAAGGTCCAGAAGCTGAGCCATCCCCTGTGGAGGCACCTATACAAAGGGCTCCATGGCCAAAAGTCAAGTCGTCACATGGCACGAATAGCAACCGCCCACGCAGCCAGCACATCATGTCGTCGTCGTCGCAGCCGCATGACTCATCTGCGCCGCCGACGTCGATGCCATCCGTCAGCGAGACCAACGAGACTCCAAAGCCAACTTCAAACAGCCCTTCCCTAATTCAGGAACCGACTGGAATCAAAGCCAGGTTCAGCACCGCTCAGAGCCCAACACCTCACAGCATGAAGCTTCAGTCCGTTTTACAAAAGTATGGAGGATTTGCCTCGAACCCATCCCTCGGCCATACTCCCCCGCACAGTCAAACGACCGAAGCGGTAGGAGCGGCAAGCGAGAGACCACCGCAATACAGTCAGCCGGGAGATGGCCAAGCCACGGAGGTCCCGCAGAGACGGCCGTTTGTGCCACCTCGGGAAGCTGTTTTGTTCGGAACGTTTGACGTGGACAGCGAAGCAGACTCGAACTCGACGGCGGATGTCTCGCCGCTGAACAATTCAAAGGCTGTCAATGTGAACCATCCTCGAACGTTGCGCGAACGATCTCACAGCGAGGCAAACCACCACGGCTTGGACAGCACGATTCCCCTCGCGTCGACGTACGAGTTCGAGGAGCCACGGTCCAGTGCGTGGATGGACGCAATGACGTCAGAGACCAGCGATGGCTTTGGCGACAACGACAGCGATATCATGCCCACCACCAACCAAGCAGACAAGGCTGAGAAAGTGGCGGCGACCCGTTTCGACCACGAGCGACCGTCCAACTCGAGCGTCGACGAAGACGACGATGGGTTCGACATGGACAATACCAACTACGCCGTCAAGCGATTCCAGCATCACCGCGCTGTCGACGACTCGTTCGCGTCGTCGATTCCGATCGCAGAGTCAGTGGACGGGTCGTCGTTCTATAGCACCACCATGTACGACCCTCCTTGCTCGCCACGGCGGGCGCACAGTGGCTACGATGACGCCCACGATGACGGCGACTTTCCGTCCATGGGCGCCGTTTACAACACCCGCCAGACGTTTTCTCCCCAACTGCCCCAGCAAAACCTTTCCTCGTCTCCAACACCGTACGCCCCGATCGTGCTGGACAGCTCTTTCGATTCCAACGACGACACATTGACGTTCGATCGACTGCAGGAGCACGACCTGCGAACTCTCGCCCTGGGCAGACCCAAGTCGCCATCCCGCGAGTACGTACGATCGAGGATGACGAATGCCAGGCGGCGCTGATCACGCTGTCTAGTCCCAACGGATCGACCTCCGTGGAAGCTGAGCATCGTCCGACTGTTGTTTTGTCCGCGGACAATCTGCGGGCCCACGATGTCTTGATGTCCCGTTCGTCCCGTGGTGCCAACCTACCCGACCAAAAGTCTCGAAGTGCGTCCAAAAGTACCGCCATCGACAATCCACGGGACATGCCATCGCATCACTCGCCAACAGTGCCCTTTCCAACTCCTCCACCAGTGTAAGTTGTACGATGTGAAAGCTGCTCGACGTCGTAACCCCTGCCTGCCCATGCGTAGTCGACTTGAGCCAGCAGTTCACGATCGTGCCCCTTCAGCTAGGAGCATGTCCGATCCTAGTGGCCAGCACTGGCCACCCCCAACCAACTTGCAGCACGACAGCTCGGATGACTCGGAAGTCTCGTCGATGGACTCTCCCGCGCACTCCATTGACCTTGACAGCGTCTACGAAACCCAGCAGCTTGGACCATCTCTTCGAAGTGGTCCGAGGACTAACATCGTCTTGCCTCCGTCGACCCGCAAGGACCTGTACATGCGTCGCGAATCCGCCGACCGCTCAAGCCACAAGGTCACGTGGTATCCTGTTCGAAAGCTAGTGTACACCGCTGAGCACGACACGATGGCAGCAGCGGCCCACGCCATTTTGGAACGGGTGACGAGTCGCAAGAGAATGTCCAAGGAAGCCCTCGAAGTCAAATCGACCATGCCCGAATACCGCCTCGATAAAGCCGACTGGATGCTCGCTCGGAAGCGCCAGAGCGACGTCCAGTTGTTCACTATTCCAGTCGTTGCCCGCATCCCGATGGACGTTTTGGTTTTGGACACCACCAACACGTCGAGCCAGAACAACAAGCGTACGAGTTGCGCCGGCTATCTCATGAAGCGTGGCGAAGTCAACGTCACGATGCAGCGGCGGTACATGATCCTCCAAGACAACGAACTTGTGTACTACAAGACGAATCCGGAACTGAACAAGGGCTGGTTTGGGAAGGAAAAGCCCCGCGGATCGCTCCATTTGGGCAACGTGTCGCTCGTCCGGCCGTACTTGAGCACTCTGACAATCGAACTGGTCACGACCAAGCGAACGTGGGTGCTTCAGGCAGAGTCTGAGCGCGACTACAAAATGTGGGCGCGGGCCATTTGCCGGTCGGTGCCGTACGACGTCGTGGATATCGTCTTCCGCCGAATGTTCCAGCTTGCCGAAGTGGACGCGTCCAGCGTGAACGAAGTGCGCCTCGTGACGCTGCCGTCGTATACGGTGGTAGAGACTGTCGAGCACATATTCGTCAACTACAGTCAAATGGCCGGCGCCGCGCCGCTCAAGCCGTACAACCCGTCCGATTTTTTCCTCAAGGTGACGGGATACCACGATTACATGGTGAATCCGTCGTCGACAATGGACCAGTACATGCACATCCAGGACTGCCTCTTCTCCAAGAAGACGCTGTGCCTGACCGTTCTCCATCGCAACGTCATCGTCGAGTCGATTCAAGACGCCATTCGAACAGACACGCGCCGGTTTAGCGCGGCGTCGTTTTCGCAAGTGCGATCCCTCCCACACACGCCGGAACAAGTCATTCCCAGCGGCTCGTATTTGTTTCCTGTCCAGTTTACACTCGAGGAAGTCCAGTCGGTGAATCCGCAAGGAAACACACACGTTGTGGTCATGGCCGAGCTCGTGTACAACGGCGAGCGTTTGGAAAAGGTCGCCGACTCGGCCGAAGTGCACCTGTCAAAGCCGTCCATGTCTGGCCAAAGCAATGGCCGATGGAGTCGGTCGAGATGGTACAACTCGGCGCTCAACGTCAGTGCACTGCCCAAGGAAACGCGCCTTGTTCTGACCGTCTACGGCTTCCAAACGACTCAAATTGAAAAGTGGACCCCCCTGGCGACCGCGGGCGTCAACATTTTTGACGCGGACAATCTGTTGATTCACGGCGATCTCGCGCTACCTCTTCTACACGACGTGCCGTCGTTGTACTCCGGCCCCCTCTCGCGCATCGCACAACTCGACGACGGCGCGCCATACATTGTGGTATGTGTGTGTTGGCTGTGACCTTTCAAGGCATCTTCCGACGTTGATGATGGTTAGATTACGTTGGCGATTCCCAAAATTCCCGTGAAATTTGACTGGACCACCCACACTGGCATCGTCCGAGAGCCCAATCGGTCTCTGGACCGATGTGGATGGCTTGCTGAACGCGCTTCAAACAGCTTGACTTGGACGGAAAAGTGGTGCCAGCTCAACCATGCCATTTGTTGCCTCGTTCTGGCCGCAGACAACAAGTCCGGCAGCCCCCACCAGTCCCTGCCTCTCGATGGCGCACAGGTCGCCGTGACCGACACGCAGAATCGAAGGCACACGACCAAGCTAACGCAATCGACTCGTCGCGAACAGCATACGTGGGCATTCCAGCTCATCCTCCAAGGCAACCCCAGGGTGTACGTGCTAGCAGCCCGGACGCGGCACGAGCGAGATGCGTGGATGAAAACGATCGAGTTGGTGGCGTCCCGCACAGACTACGACTTGACGGACACTGCATCGAAGGACGACCTCCGGACGAGCTTGATCGGGCAGTTTGCCAAGCCCGTCGGGACAGCGCAGGCGAGTGCAGAACTCGGCGAATTTGACTACCTCGTCCAGCTGATTGACGAAAACCCACTGTATCAACTATGCGGCTACGAGAAAGCGATTCTGTGGCGTCACCGACGCGCGTTTCTCGGTTCTTTTGAAGCGCTCCCGCGCATGCTGACGTGCGTGAATTGGCTCGATCCTTGGCAATCGGCCGAAATGGTCGCGCTGCTCCCTTCCTGGACGACCCCCCGCCACTCGACGTCGTACATTGCGTTGCTGGAATGCGTTGACGCCCGCGTGCGCCAGTTCGTCGTGGACCAACTGACCAATCTCACCGACACGTCGTTCCGGCAGCTTATCCCGCAGCTGGTGCAAGCTCTCAAGAACGAGGCGCACCACACGTCGCCGTTGTCGGCACTGCTCATCGAGCGGGCGATCAAGGCTCCGAACCCGCTTGGACTGGACTTGTTTTGGGCTCTGAAAGTAGAAACGCACTTCCCCCAGCATCGAGAGCGCTTTGGTCTGCTTCTCAATGCGTATGCTGACGTGTGTTCGGTCAAGACGCGAGCCATGTTTGAGCTCCAAGACAATTTATTTGGCCAAGGAGGACGATTGGAGGCGGTGTGCCGCGAAATCAAGCGCGTCAAGGCAGCTGGGGCGTCCGAGAAGGACGTGCTGGCGTCTCTGCACACCCAGTTGAACCACGTCAACACATGGCTCCCCACGACGTCGTACCAACTGCCCATTGACTCGCGCATCCAAGTTGGCAAACTTGTGGTGGCCAACTGCCGTGTGATGAGCTCTGCCAAGCTCCCGCTCTGGCTCGAGTTTGAAAATGCTGAACCGGGACAGCCTTCCGTGGCCGTGATCTTCAAAAGCGGCGACGATCTTCGACAGGACGCACTTGTCTTACAACTCATCCGTGTGATGGATGACATGTGGCGGGAAACGGGCAAGGACCTCGGGATGGAGCCATATCGCTGTGTCGCCACCGGACCCAACACTGGGCTCGTCCAAGTCGTCCCGCACGCCGCGACGACCGCGGCGATCCAGCGGCGGGGAAGCTCCATGCGAGGCATTTTAGGCGCATTCAACCTCGAGTGTTTCTCGCATTGGATTGAGCAGCACAATACGACACCCAAGGCGCTGAAGGCGGCGAAGGACTTGTTTCTGCGGTCCTGTGCGGGGTACTGTGTCGCCACACATATCCTCGGCATTGGTGACCGCCACAACGACAACCTCATGGTGACGCGGGGCGGGCGGTTCTTTCACATTGACTTTGGCCACTTCCTCGGGTTCTTCAAGTACGTGCCGCTTCTCGGAATCGTCACGATCAAGCGCGAGCGCACGCCGTTTGTGTTTACGCCGCAAATGTCGCACGTGTTTGGGGGCGAAAACTCGGCCGGGTTTGCCAAGTTTATCAAGTCGGGCGCTGACGCATTCAACGTCGTGCGGCGCCATTTTCACGCAATCATCTCGCTCTTGCTCCTGATGCTGCCCGCCCAGCTACCCGAGCTCCGAGACCGTGACGATCTCCATTATGTTGTCGATGCGATTGCACCGGAGCTGAGTCCCCAGGAAGCAGCCGTCATGTTTGACGACCTCGTCAGGCAGTGCCATAGCTGCAAGTGGAAACAGTACGACAACGCCGCCCACCTGGCGTACCACGCATAGGCCTATCATGCTAACTTATCCCTTTCATCGGAATCGCGTTAAAAGCGGGCCACAACGATCTGCTCGATGACGTCGCTCCCTTGACCAGAGTTGTCTCGGTGATACCAGCATGGAACAGAAGATGCATCACATCTAGCAATTCAAAAACATAACTTATTGGCTGGGGGCGGGCCGAGGAGAGTCATGGTCCGTCGGCATCGGCATATGCTGGTCGGCCATGCTGAATTTCTCCATCACTTCCTTGAGCCCTGCTTCCGCCGTCTGGCTGCTCGCAAGGAAAATCTCGCCAAGGATTGCAAGACCCTCCGCGCGTTTGACACGCTGGGCGGCGGACACAGACGCGTCCTTGAACAGCTTAAAGCAGACGCTGCGGAGGGTCGCTTCGACGTCCATGACAGTGAAGTTCCATGCCGTTTCGAGGATGCCGCCGAGGGTTTCTTGCTGCAGCTGCCTCGCGAGTTGGTCTTCGCAGACCGCGTCGTCGGGGGTCAATTCAGTCTGCTGTTGCTTCTTCTTTTCAAACTCCTCCACCTTTTTCGCCGCCTTGCTGTACTTGGAGTACGCCGACACGGCCGACGACAAAAACTTGTACTTGGTCGACAGCACATGCGCGCTCTTCGTTACATTTTGCAGCCCCAGCCCCGCCGCGACGCTCTTCCGGAACCCAAGGTGCTTGTGCGCCTGCTCTTCATACACGTAGCCGACGACTCCAATCAGCGTCCCGCCGAAAGCGGTCGACGCGAGTTCCTGCGCCGTTGCCGTCATGGTCGTGCGAAAGTTGATATGCTTCTCCGACACGTCTGTCGCGTACTGGTTGTCGAGAAGGTTGGCCAAGTGGACGGCGCAAAGAACTTCGCGTCGCTTCTGTTTGAGTTTCGTCTTGTCAGTCTGGCCAAACAGATCCGTCGGGTCGTTCAACCCGTCCATCGTGTTCATCTTGGTCAGTTCTTGCTGCAGCGTCATGAGGTTCAATTCGCCCACAAACGCTTCGAACGCTTGCGACCCGAAAATCATGTCGTAAATTTGGCTGTTGTCCATGAAGAGCTGCTGGTCCACGCCATCGCTGCCGTGCTCGTCATACTTGGCACGAGAGGCAGGATCCGAGAGAATTTGGTACGCGGCACCCACCTTCTGGAACTTTTCAGACGCCGTCGGGTCGTTTAAGTTCTTGTCCGGGTGCAGTTTGATGGCCAGTCGTCGGTACGCCTTCTTGATGTCGACGTCCGTGGCATTTGGCGGCACGCCCAAGACATCGTACAACTCGGTTTCCTTGACCACTTTGTCTTCCAGAATAGGCGCGGCGGCATCGGCAGCCGCAATTTCTGCCGCCTCTTCTTGGAGGTTGTACACGTACCACTCGTTGGTTTCTGCATTCCACACCTTGTTCTCGTTGTTGCTGATGATTGCTCGGGGAGTCGCCGCAATGCCACGAGCGATTTGAGTAACACCAGTGACAGCTCCACCTCCAACCATCTAACCAAGCGAGTCATCGGAAAGTCACATGCAGATCGGCATACCACAACAGCAGAGGCAGTGCCGAGCGCAAGACCCTTGGCGAAACCAAAGATTCCTTGTTCCTTCGCACCAATGATTGGCATGGCCACAAAGGACCCAACTCCTGCGGCCAACCCTTTTCCCATGTTCTTCAGGCCTGACGACAGGCCAGCAGCAGCGTCTCGTGGTGCGCGTGTCGAGAAGATTTGAGGCATGTCAGCCAATTCATTGCTCGATTCTTCTGGACAATCATCCTTGATTTGTAGCGGAGGGGCAGACGTTGCCCGTGTCGCCGGTGCGCCGTTGTTGTCACCTTTGGTCGGCGCCGCAGCTTCGGCTTGCATCTTTGCGAGTGGAAGAATTCCGTTGTGTGGGTCCATTGCAGTCTCTGCCTCATCCGGATACGAAAGGGTTAATTTTCCTATACAAACGTCAAGTGCAGTAGTACATACCCAAAGTTTCTAGAGTAGATCGCACGATCATGGTCAAACTTTATACAGAACTATATCGAAGCGTATTAACCCCTTCGCATTCCATATAAAAATTTTACTCGCACGTGGCCGACGAAAGAACATGGCGATGTCTGAGAGTCGATGATGCGACCTACGAGTCGTCGTCGTGGCGCTGGAGAATGGCAGTGTACCGCGAGGGAATGGAGGTAAAGTACTTGGTCATGGCTGTTTGGAAGCGCTTCGTGTACTGTTTGGGATTGAGCACGGTGATCTCGCCTTCGTCCTGGAGGAGGCGCTTCCCGTGGTGCTCGAGCCGCTTCATGAGGTCGTACTTGACGATGTAGTCGATGATGGACACCACAATTTCCTGCTTCTGGCGGTTGTACCCGACCAGCATGGAGTAGTCCACGACATCCACGGACGCGAGGAAGGTCGAGTCGCTGATCATTGCGGTTTTGAGCACATCCAGAGCAGATTCGTGCATCGGCATCGGTATGCCCTGGCACATCTTGACAAAGTTGCGGTCCCACAAAACGGCACCGCTGCCTTCGTCAGGAGCAGACCGGCCCTCCATCTTGCCTTTGAGATCGAAGAGCACGTCGACTTGTCGTCCGTAAACCATATTCTCCATCACCAGGAGGTTCATGCTGGTATCACCGATCGCGATGCGATACACCCCCACAATTTTGCTCAGCATCGTTGGCGCCCCTTCCTCGATGGCTTTTGCAAGGTACTCAAAGTACTTGGGCGCAAAGTTGAGAAACATCTGGAGATGGTTCGACGGCACCACCTTGGCGAGGAAGCGCTCGTCCTTTGTCTTCATGAACCCGGCACCCGACTTACCGCCGCTCACTTGCCACGTCTCGCACGTGCACAAGCTCTCGACGAAACGCCTTTCGTCGTACTCGACGAGCTGGCGCAGTGCATGAAACTGCGTCGCATAGAAGCTTTTGCAGCCAAATTTGGTGGCCGACTCGAATTCGTTGTCGTCGACGAAGAGGTGCTCGATGTTGCTCCGTCGGTCGCTCTTCATCACGGTCAGCAAGTGTGTCCTGGACAAGTCGTGGGTGGCAGTGGCGAGCCCAAACCAGTCTTTGAGCTGGTTCGTATAGTCCACCGAGCAGAGCGAATACGCGACTACGGACGTCGGCTGCGTCGAGTTTACGAGCACGACGACGCCATCCACTCCCACGGGCAGACTCGGGTGCCACTGAAGGATGGATGCCGGTAGCTCGAGAAAATGCGATGTCGACGCAGACGTGCTGGTCGACTTGATCATGCCGAGTTTCGGGATGTCCGAACCGACCACGAGCGTGCGATTCCACGACTGCGACTCGCTGTGCGTGAGACTGTTGGACTGGCTCGACATGGCATCGTTCAAGTCGATGCCCGAGTCGAAGAACGTGATCCCGGCCGACACGACCGCGCTGAATCCGCCCCGTTGGTCCAACGGGGAGTACTCGCCATTGTTGACGCGGTGTACAAACTCGGCCACGGACGCCGTCGAGTCGACCGACGTCCGATTGATTGCACGGTCATCCAAAACAAGCCCCGACAGCGACAACGCCGACGGAGATTGGCCCGACAAGTCGGACGCCGACGGCGCAACCTGCGGGGAGCTCTTCCCCTGCTCCTCCACCGCCATTTGCTTGAACCACCACGTGGGCAGCGCATTGTTTGTGTCGACTTCGCTCCCTTGCTTGAACGTCGACTGGGTGCTCGTGCTGTCGCGGAGTTCGACACACATCCGGGCCGCGTGCTCGAAAATCTCGCGGAACAACGCGTGTCTGGCAAATACATCCACGGGAGGACTCTCGCGGACTTTTTGCGTAAAGCTGAGACACCAGAACCGAACGCTACCGCGCAACGTGGCGAGTTTATCCATCGACTTGGGCAGCTCCCGTGTCTGGAGCTGCTTTGTTTGATGCATGACACACAAATCCCCGAGCGCTTCGTCAATCTTTTGCAGCGTTAGTCCCCGAACTTCTTCGGCCAGTTGCACCAAATCGTCAAACTCGATCGCGGACGGCCTGTACGGGTCTTGCCATAGCGTCGGCTTCAACGTGACCGTCGAAACGGGGTCGATACGTTCGGTAGCAATCGCGACAACCACGTCCGACTGGGCAAAGTACCGAACGCATTGGTCCGTCGAGATTTTTTCCAGCTGCGGCGCCATCGCTGCATCAAACGGAAGCGGCCGCATGTACATGAGGTCTTCGATAAACTTGCCAAACGAATATGCGAGCATATCGGACGACATCTCGACGTACGTTGGGGCGGCGTCGTCGTACGGGCCACACACCCACGTGATCGGCGCCGACGTGCTGTTCTGGACAGCGTTCTTGGCAAAGTTGACCATGTCCAAGAGGGCGTCGCCGGCGTTTTTCTTCTTTCGATTCGGCTGCACCATCACGCGAATGTGCACGCGGGTCGTGTCGTGGGTGAAACTCAGCTGGTGCGTTTTAAAGGCAGTGCGAAACACGGTCGCGGCCGACTCGAAGCAGTATTTTGCGAGAAAGCTGCCGATGCTGCAGTCGCCGTCGACCGTGTAAAACTGCAGGACGTTCCATTCGGCCACCGACGGTGCCAAGTTGTCCAATCGACTCCAGCACGTCGACACGACCACTTGCGTCCCACATAGCGGTCGCGTGAGGCCGGTCGGACAAGTGCATCCTTGAATCGACGAATGTTTCGTTTGTAGCAGGAGGTGGTGAACACTGCTGGAGCTTCGCCTTCGCGTGGACTGCACTTTCACGTCGGACGCTTTGCAAGCCGGACACTTGTGGCGCTGCAGGGCTCGATACGCTCGCTGACTGAGCGAATTTTCCCTCATGGCCAAGTACATCGAATCAAACGACGTCGATGTGGTCGACGCAATGTGGGAAGGCGGGACAATTCCCCATGCACTCCACAGCGATCGTTGCAGCCGCAGGTGGTAGCCCAGGTGCACACTTTGCACGACAATATCTCGGAGGGCCATCAAAGCTGCCTTGGATTTGGCGCCTCGCAGACCCAACGTGACTCCCAGCGCAGGGGAGTCCGTCTCGAACACAACGCATTGTTTCCTGCTCATGCGATTTGCCGCGGTGGATGACGGCGACGACGGCTCCGGCGGGTCCGGTGTCCATACGCGGAAGCGCTTGCACGTGCCTAAAATGGCGTCGGACGCCATCTTGTCAACGTGGTCAAAGGCGGTGAGGACGGCGGCGCCTGTGACGCGAGCGATCCGTGAGAGATCCCCTGCCTTGATGTTCTTGACAACCACAATGTCGTTGCTGGCCAGACACTCTTCGGCCACGCGGTGCACGTGCTTCTGAAACACGACGACGTCAGGACGAAGCCGCTTGATCTTCTCGGCGGCGATTCGCATGTACTCTGTCTCGAGGCCGGCCACGTGCTCCAGCGGACTAAAACTCTCCTTGTCTTTGTGGTAGTCCAGCGCTGACGCAATCACGAGGACGCGCGGATTGTCGACGCTCGGTCGCATGCGTTTGCGAGCCATGCGTTTGCGAAGGAGGACTCCTGGCACGACAAAGCTGTCGGAGGGTGCGCCGCCGGGAAAGCACTTGATGCGACATCCCGCCACACCGTCTTGGACCGAAGACGAAGCATGTGAGCTCAGCGCGAGAAGAATGTCGATATATGCACATTGGTCGGCGATAGTTAGTCCAGGCAAGTTCGTTTCCTCAATCATTGAGCCGAGTTTGTCCAGGATGAAAGCCGTGGCATGTTCTGCCATACGGGCTTGGTTGGCGGCGGCCGCGGCTTGGACGTTGGGGAGTCCCGACGCATTCGCACATGCTTTCGAGAGCTGGTAGTTGCCATCTTTTACGAATCGGGCCATGGTGTCCATCGCAGGGTACGACGACATCAGAGTTCGGCTGGAGGGCATCGGGGTTGTGAGCGAGCGCGAACAACTTCCAAAGTTGGCATTGTTTCCCCGCGGGCGGTTCGTATAATGCACATCGTCGAGGTCGACGCTGCTGTCATCATCTGCGAACAATCCACGGAAACGGACGTGGCGGTGCGTCTGGTGCAGCAGATCGGGGTCGCTCCCGCATCGACGGAAAGTGGGGTGTGTTACTTTGACAGTGGGCGTGTAGTGAGGAAAGAGTGGGTGCAGCACAGCTGCAGATGGAGCCTTCACTGGAGCGGCGGGAACCATCTGAGCTTTTGGAAACATGGCGAAGAGGGCCGGGTTGATGTCCTGGAGAAACTGATTCGGCTCGGTTGCAGATTCTGAGAGAGACGACGATAAGATTGGAGTATTTGTGGGGGCATCGGCGAGTTTGGGAGTGGAGGGCGGCACTATCGAAGTGGACGAGACGAGGCGTTGATGGGGCTGCTGGAGGGTGGAGAAATTTCTGTGGAAGCCTGTTTTCAAAGTCGATGTGGATGCAGGGACTGCTTGATGCAGCAAACCCTCCTTGAGCTGACGATGGCATTTATGGCACACCAGTTGGTTTCGTAGCCAGTTCATGGACGCGTCGCGAGGCTTGAACGAGAGGGGCAGGCGGTGGCAGCAGGTCGAACAAAAGATCTGGCCGCATGACCGACAGTGGTGTCGCCGGCGACAGAAGGTGAAGAGTTCGTCGCATGCGACGCAACACTTGGCATGTTGATCGGACATCCAAAATTGTGTCATGGTCGAGTTGGTGCGGGGCCGGCTTTCGTTTACGTCCGTCACCTCAGTAAACGCAGCTGGCCATTGGGGACCGCTCGACGGGCACGTCATAAGGAGCGGTTTCTTACCATCGGTAGACAGAGGTTGACTGAATACAAGCGAGACACTACCAGACGAACGATTCTGTGCTTGCTTCAACCGAGACAGGACGTCGTCGTAGTGCACGTTCCTCAGATTCACGAGGTCGAACTCAATCAAGACAGCACCAGAAGCAACGCCAGTCGCTTCCGCTTCAGAACCAGCCTCTACTTTGTCGACTTGGCACCAGTACCTTGTCTGGGGATGGGATGGCGCGCGGCGAAACGTCATGCCGTATGTGACGATTGGGGTGGCCAGCGGCACCGTAATGGTTTCGTGCGGAATATAGGTCTGCGAGTCAAATCCACCTAACCTGAACACCGCGCGTCTGTCCAACGAGTCTCCACCTGTCGGCGAGTGCATCATCGACTGCCGGGGAAAGCATTGCCCAAACACGCCGCAGTCCATGTCCCGCCGTTGCTTGGACGGGCAATTCAAATCTCGATCTGGGAGTATAAAATGAAAGAGGTTCTTCGTAAAACGCACCCACACGTATTCAAGAAGAGAGGTCAGTAAAATCGCGTGCAACGTTACGCAATATAACAACGGGTTCTGTTATAAATCGGGGTTTCGGGGTTCAGCCTCGGACCGCGAGACGACTCCATTAGGCTGCCATATCGTCGAGCTTCACGACCTCCAGCAGCATTCCACGTCGTTACGAGATGACTGATGCTTTCGACAGGTTTGGATAGCGATTTGGTCGCAAGAGCGTTCGTTTCAGCTGCTCAAGTGGACTCACAACGCAGTTGGGATATTTCCAGTCGTTGGCTATTGCAATAACCGTATCAACATAAATGTACGCATTGCGTTCAATACTCGCACACGAGAGAGACTTCTCCCCTCGAATGGCTTGACCGTTGGCCCTTGGATGCCAGCTCGACGCTGTCCTTGACCTGTCGGTGATCCTAAGAGTGTTGGTGGTCATCATCCGCATATCGTTTATCCGGACAGTTGCAACGCGGAGACGGCGTAACTTGCGGCTGCTTGTGCACTTGGTCGACAGGGGGAATCTTGATGGGGCGTCCGACTAAAAAGCAGCCGAAGAGAGCCCCTTCAACGCTCGGCATGGAGCGCGCCATCGTCGGCGTAGACGACATGGTGCTCTTGACTTCTGTGACGGAGAACGGGATCCTGGAAAACCTCAAGGCGCGACATGGCGGTGACCAAATCTACACATTCATCGGGCACGTCTTGGTGTGCGTGAACCCGTACAAATGGCTCGACATCTACAACGAAAACATGATGAAGCACTACGCGCACAAACAGCGCATCGACGTCGTGCCTCATGTGTTCGCCACCGCCGAGGAAGCGTACCGCACGATGGTGCGTGACGAAGAGAACCAGTGCGTGATCATCTCGGGGGAAAGCGGTGCCGGCAAGACGGAAGCATCCAAGCAGATCCAGAACTACATTGCGGGGATCTCGGGCAGCGGCGACGGCGTCGACAAAGTCAAGAGGACGTTCCTCGAATCGAACCCGCTGCTGGAAGCGTTCGGGAATGCCAAGACCGTGCGCAACAACAACTCGTCTCGATTTGGCAAGTACTTTGAACTCCTCTTCGATGCGGCGGGGCGTCCGCAGGGGGGGCACGTGACGAACTACCTGTTGGAGAAATCTCGAATCGTCAAACCTGGCAAAGGCGAGCGCAACTTCCACATCTTTTATCAGCTTTTGGCGGGACTGCCAGATGCCGCGCGCGGCTCGTTTGGGCTGTCCAGTAACCCGAGCGACTTCGAGTACCTTCGCGCATCGGGGTGTTACACTGTGGATGACTTGAGTGACGCCGAGGAGTTCCAGGCCACGATGACGGCGATGCAGCACGTCGGCATCAAAAAGAAGCAGATCGAGCTTGTCGTGCAGATGCTGGCTGGGATCCTACACCTTGGGAACGTCGCTTTCGAGGACTTGCAAGTCCAAGATGCTGAAGGCAGTCGCGTCACGACTGGCGACGCACTGGAACTCGCGTGCCGGCATCTCGGTCTGAATTCGACCGAATTGAGTCGTGCGTTCTGTTACAAGTGGCTGCACACGATGGCTCCGGTAGGATGAACCCTCCCGCCATCCATTTCCATGGACGCTCACGGGTACTAGGGCGGGAAAATCGAGAGCTACGAAGTGCCGCAGAACCCCGACCAAGCGAGGAGCCAGCGCGACGCCATCGCCAAGTTCTTGTACTCGTCCATGTTTGACTTTCTCGTCGAGCGAATCAACAGTGCGCTGGACGTGGAGAACCAACAAAAGGAAGCGTCCGACCTCGCGAGCATCGGGATCTTGGACATCTACGGGTTTGAGGTGTTTGAAACGAACGGATTTGAGCAGTTTTGCATCAACTACGTCAACGAAAAGCTGCAACAAATCTTCATTGAACTCACGCTCCAGTCGGAGCAGGCGGAATACGGGCGCGAGGGGTAATCAGGTCGAGCATTCCCACACGTCCCCACCTATTCCTCTAGCATCACGTGGACCCCGATTCCGTTCTTCAACAACAAGGTCGTGTGCGACCTGATCGAAGGCAAGGCGCCGCCTGGTATCTTTTACGTGCTCGACGACACGATCAAGACGATGCACAGCCAGCAGGGCGACGGTGTCGACTTGACGTTTCTGGAAAAGATGGCCGGTGTCCACAAAGGCCATGCGCACTTTAGCAAGCGCGGACGAGTGTTTGAGATCAAGCACTATGCGGGAAATGTCCAGTACAGCGCCCTCGGGTTTGGAGAGGCCAACAAGGAGAGCTTGACAAAAGGTTCGTGCACAACCGCACGCGATGGCTCTAACGCATGCGGGGTAGACGTCATGGCGCTGATCCGGCGAAGCTCGAACAAACTGATTCAGTACCTGTTTCAGAATGAACCGACCGAAGAAGACGACCAGCCAGGTCGTAAGAAGCTTGCGCTGACGGCTGGATCCAAGATCCGAACGCAGTGCGCGGCGCTCGTGACGGCGCTCATGGACTGCCAACCGCATTACGTTCGGTGTATCAAGTCCAACGACCGAAAGCAGCCCAACAACATTGACGACAAGCGAGGTACCGATGCCTATCGTTGCGTTTCCAACTCGTTGCGTAGTGCTCCATCAAATCCAGTACTTGGGTCTGCTCGAGAACGTCAAGGTTCGGCGCGCAGGGTACGCCTATCGTGGCGAATACGGACGGTTCTTGGACCGATTCAAATGGCTCGCCAAGGACACGACCCGCGAATTCCGTGGCAAAGACGTCGCCGGATGCAAACTCATTGTCAAGGCGGCGCAAAAGGACGTCCCAGCGCTCCAGGACGAAGTCCAGTGGGGCAAGTCGATGATCTTCATCCGCACACCCGAGACCTTTTTCGCGCTCGAGAAACTGCGCGAGCGGACGTTCGGCGTGTTTGCCTGTCGGATCCAGCGCGCATGGACAAAGTACGCTGGCCGACGCCATCTCGTTCAGCTCAGCGCGGACATCGCGAAACTGTACGCCAAGCATGGCAAAGGCCGACAGCGCGTCAGTTTGTACCGGCCCTTCGACAACGACTACTGCCGACAGACGGACGTCCGCGCCGCGATCTTGCGCGTGTTACAGTTCCACGGCGACGAGAATGTCAAGGTGCTTTTCTTTGACAACGTCGACAAGATCTCGACCGGCGGCCAGCGGCTGTCCAACTACTACCTCGTCGTCACAGCCAATGCAATGTACATCTTCGAGACCCAGACGCCGTTCGTCGACCCAAAGACGAAGCGCATCGTGCCGTTGGTGAGTCTTCGCCGCCGTCTCCCGCTGTCTGCGGTCGAAGGCATTGTCATGTCGCCGTTCGCCGACCCATACTTTGTGCTCCGGATTGCACAGCCGCCGCTGCTGCCAGCGCCCGATACGTCCCACTGGAAAGACAACAAGAGCTCGGCCATGTGCATGGCGACGCAAAAGAAGTTTTCGCTCTTCACGCGGCGCCACCACTGCCGAGTGACGGGCAACTTGTACTGCGCCGACGTCGTGACCAACTTGCATCCGGTGCCAGACCGAGGGTACGATCCGTGACTACTCGATGGCCATGAACGCCTGTGCAGATGCTACACCCCCGTGCGCGTTGTCGACTCTGTTGTCGGGCACTTTTCGGTCGACATGGCCGAAGACGTGTGCCTGGCGTCGGAAAAGAAGACCGAGATCGCCGTCTTGATTGTAAATGCGCTGCGAAACATCTCCATCACGTTTGACAAGTCCATCCGCTTGCGGACGGCGCCCGTGCTGTCAACTAGTCCAAGTGAAACCCTCGAGTTCGAGACGGGAGCAACCAGCGCCATCACGACTCGACCAGGTTGCGACGGACGTCCTGTAGATGAGCCTTGACGAACTCATGTCGAATCGCAGGTGAAATCAAGATCACTGTTGCTGCGATCGATCAAGTCCCGACAGAGTACTTGGAAGCGCGCAGGAAGCGGGAACGCAAACGGAAGAAGCAGCGAGATGCCCAGCGGGCTCAGGACGAAGCGATCCGTGCCGCCCGTCGGGAAGTTCGCGACCGCGAGCGCGAAGAAGAGCGACTGCGACGAGTGGCTGAGAAGAAGGCGCGCAAAGCAATGGACCGTGCGAAACGAGCGAGCTCTGGCAACAACCTTGCCGGGAATGCGTTGAACAACGTCCGGAAGTTTGGGGAATCCATTGCGCAACAACCCCAAAGCAACGCCAATGCGGAGCTGGCGGCCGCACTCGCCCGACGACGAGGCAACTAAGACCAAAGGGAAAACATGTGCTGTCATGCGAAGAAGAAGGGATCGTTTCCACATCGTACAACGTGTTGGGATGGATTCAAAGGCAACCAACACCCATCGACACGACTCAGGATGAAATCAAATGAATTCGTCGTGTGCGCGATGCAGCATTCTCGACGGGGATTTCCACGAGTCGCGGCGGACGATTCAGTTGAATCCGTCGGCAGCGTTCGTGCAAGGGCAGGGCCTCACCGCCGTTCGGCGTGAAAATCCTTGCCCCCTCGATGTACTCGAAACATCGACTGCTGACGAAACCTCGACACGAATGAGGCAAGTTGCATTCCCCGAGACGACCATGATGAGCATGCTGTGTGTCTCCTGTAAATACAGGCATGGCTTCACTCACGTGGATGAAATCGCAGTACACACGTGCCTCCGTTCGTCCTGTCGATGGACAACGCACAAGGGCAAGCGGGTCCAAAGGGCGTCCCCGCCGTTCGCCGACGTCGATGCGACCGGACCGAGCATGTCACCACCCAGTATGAAAGCAACTCGACACTTGAAACGTGTGAAACGTTCGATTCGACGGGTGAGATGCAAACGGGCAGGGCGGCGGCGGCGCCACGACAACCTCTGCAGCCCCCTACGGTCACACTCCCACCATCATCGGGTGGACGGATGCAGATGGGCAAGCTAGTAAAAAAGCGCTCGGCTCGCGTGATTTGTCGCATCCCTTTCAACCACGTCGTCCGCCGCCATTGTCTGGGAGGTGCTGTTCAATCCCAGCGTGGCGACGTCGAAAAACGCAGATTCTGGCCCTCGTCACTCGCCCGTCCACTTTGATAGAAGGCTCACGCCATCCCGAGGAAGGCTCACGACATCTCGTCCCATGCTGGCGTCGTCTGGCGCAGTTATTCTTGGCACGTTCGCCAAACTCCGCCGCCTCGCTCCATCTTGGCTATAATTGGGAGCCCGTCTCTGGCTTCATCGCGCGAGTAACGGAGGAAAGGCATGACATACATTAGCCATTGATTGGATAAAATTCGTCCATTTCGACCAAGAAAAAAGACTTTCTCGTGTTTCTTCGCATCGGATTGGCTGTAAATCAACAAATGCTTTGACCAAGTGGGTGACACTTGGGCCGAGCCCCTACTGAAAGTAAAAAACGCACGGTGCATCGCATTTCCGACGACTCGGGCACGACGCGATGGCCGTACGACTGGAGCACATCCAGGAATGGATCGCGTCCACAGTCAACACTCGCATGGACGGAGACCTCCTCAACCTCCTCAAGGACGGACAGATCCTATGTAAGCTCGCCAACTCCCTCAACGCGTCGATCCGAATCAACAAACTCAAGACAACGTTCCACTCCAAAGAAAACATCACTGCGTTCCTGCACTGGGCGCATCGCATGGAAGTTCCCGAGCAAGATATGTTTACCGCCGACGACCTCCTCTGGGGAAAAGACGTGTCGATTGTTCTCCGCACGCTCTCCGCCTTGTACAACATGTTTGCCGAGGAAATCCGAGCGTCGATCCAGTATACTCCAAGTATGTGCCAGAGCCAAGCATCGTATCGCTCCAACAGTGTCGCGTCCGACGGATGGTCGAGCGACGACTCTGGCCTGGGAGACCTTCACGACGACAGCGCGGACGAGGAAGTTACCGACATCGCCGAAAGCATCTTTGTTCGAGCGAACCGGTCGTCGTCCAAGTTCGATGCGTTCATGAATCAAATTCCCCTTGCGAACTCTCCTCCAAAGAGTAAGATGGCCGCATTCTTGGCCAAGACACCCGTCACTGCACCTGTCGTGATTCCCGCGCCATCGTCGCGGAATCAGTCGGTGGATTCGAACCGCCCTCCGTCCAGGAGACAGTCTGTCGAATCACGGACGGACAGGAGGCCATCCATTGCCGACGCTCCGCCGTCACCCATACACTATCACATGTCAAAACCTCGAGGACCTCCCAAGAGTTGCGCTCGAAGCCCAATTCGAGCCAATGCGTCCACTCCGCCGCCGCCCCAGCCGAAAGCTCCCGAACTGGTTGCATCGAAGCCGGGTCTCCTCCCAAAGTCCGCCGACCCCCGCGCCAATCTTGCGAAATTGCTCATGCAAAATGCGCCAGTCAAGGCGAGAGTGCCAGATGACGACGACGACATGATGACCCCACCGTCCTCGCCAAAAGTTCACACTTCTCTTCAGACACCTAAATCGACCACCCCACCAGTTGTTGAGCAGGTGAAACCCGCGCCGATCTCGTTGACACCTGCATCAGTTCCTTCCACAGCAAAGACAGTAACCACAGCAATGCCAACTCCAGCGGCACCAGCTGTGCCCAAACTTACTCCGATTGCTCTGAAGCCAACTCCGATCTCTACCCCTCCGAAAGAAGCTCCAATCCCAAAGGCCACCCCTTTACCCGCTGCGCAGGTTGCAGCCAAACCCGTCAATAAACTGGCTGGCTTTTTAGCAAAAGTGCCGAGCACCGCTCCCGCCGCGGCCCCCTCGGCTGCCCCGGTGTCGAAACTGATGGCATTCATGTCTTCGACGTCCTCGACCTCCTTCAACCCTTCCAAGCTCCGGCCCCCGTCAACAGTTCCAACGATGGCCCAGCCAGTGAAAAAGTCCAAGCCAGTCTTTCGCTGTGCTCGCTCCACCGGTTCCTTCAACTGGGTACGCGAACGTCGCACATATGCTCCGTCCCACCGCCCCAAATTTGATAAAGAAGGCAAACGCCAGAAGTTCATGGCCCTGCAAGCCGCGATCAAAGCGGAACAGAAGGCTGCTGCCGCCCACGCGAAGAAGGGCAAGAACACCCCTGCGTGTGTTCCAGGCATGCTGTGCTACATCCCAGACGAGGCCGAGACGTGGGTACTGGCTGAAATCGAGTCGGTCGACACTCGTCGCAAGCACGTTCGAGTGAAACTTGCACATGACACGAGCAATCGGACAATCGACCTGAAAGACGCCGACGTGATTCGCGCCATCGGTGGCACGCAAGCGACCGAGATCGACGCGCTTCCGCTCGCGATCGCGCACCACGAGGGGGTCGAAGATATGCGGAATCTGCGATTCCTCAACGAACCGTCCATTCTGTACAACCTCAAAAGTCGCTTCGAGGCTGCAAAGCCATGTACGTTCCGAGATATCGGCCCAAGTGTGTTGACTTTTTGTTTAGACACCTACACGAACGAGATTGTCATCGCCGTGAACCCATATCAATGGCTCGGGGCGCTGTACGCTGACCAGCTGCATGAAAAATACCTTCATCAGCCCAAAGAGTCGTTGCCGCCCCACGTTTACGCGACGTCGACCCGCGCGTACAAGCAGATGATGCAGCCGCTGGACAAGATTCGGAACCAAAGCATTCTAGTCAGTGGCGAAAGCGGAGCCGGGAAGACCGAAACGACAAAGATTCTCATGCACCACTTGGCTACGATCGCTGGGGGCCGTCAAGACGCCACCATCGCGCGTGTGATTGATGTGAATCCATTGCTCGAATCGTTCGGGAATGCCAAGACGTTGCGAAATGACAACTCGTCTCGGTTTGGCAAATTCACCCAGCTCCAGTTTGACCGCCAAGGACGACTCGAAGGCGGCCGGTGTGAAACGTACTTGTTGGAAAAGTCCCGCGTCGTATCGTTTGCTGACGGCGAGCGCAACTACCACATCTTTTACCAGGTGCGTCCCGTTGGGTTGGACCTTTGTCTTGATCCAAGTCGGGGTAGCTTTTGTCAGGACTGTCGTGTGCCGATCAAGCCAAGCTGCACCTGGACCCGGCACATGCGTACCATTACACGGGACACTTGAAAGACATGCAGATCGACGGCATGGACGACGCCGCGTGGCTGAAGAAGACGGAGAAAGCTCTCGGTCTTATCCACATGGACGGCCCGTTGCAATGGCACGACTGGATCGCGGTCGGCAGTGACTCACTGGGATTTCTCTCTAGGACGCTGTACTCGGTCTTGGCAGGTATTTTACACTTGGGAGAAATCACGTTCACTGCGACGAGCGACACGACGTCGGCGGTCGCCAAAGGCAACAACACGTTGGCACTTGTGTCTGAACTTCTCGGGCTCCCTACCGCCACGATTGAATTCGCATTTTGCAACCGCACGATCGCATCCAATCGCGAGTCGGTGACCGTCCCGCTCAACGCCGTGGAAGCTGCCGAGAACCGAGACGCACTTGCGAAGGCCATCTACGCCAATTTGTTTGATTTTCTCGTCCAGCGCATCAACACGGCGATCGCGGTCGAGTTGGCGGCGACGCAGATCGGCGTGCTCGACATTTTTGGGTTCGAGGACTTTAAACACAACGGGTTTGAGCAATTTTGCATCAACTACGCCAACGAGAAGCTCCAGCAAAAGTTTGTCAAGGACGTGTTTTCGTCTGTGCAAGACGAGTACGTCCGGGAAGGGCTCGCATGGGACCACATTCAGTACGCCGACAACCAGGACATTCTGAACCTGATCGAAGGCAAGCTCGGGATCATCAACCTCATGAACGACCACCTGCGCCAACCGCGAGGCACCGAGGAAGCGTTGGTGAATAAGTTTCGCACGAACGCCAAAGACAGCCCGGTGATTGCGTTTGCCAAGGTCAAGCGGACCCAGTTCACGATCAAGCACTACGCCGGCGCGGTCACGTACGAAACAATTGGGTTCATGGAGAAGCACCGCGACGCGCTCATGCCAGATCTTCTCACGCTGGTTCAAGCGAGTTCAGTCTCGTTCGTCGTCGACCTGTTTCCGAACCCCGAAGACGAAGAGATGTCGAATTCAGGTACAAGTGCTTCTGCAGGCGAAGTTATCCCGCCCATTATTCAAGCATGGAACCTTCGTCGCAAAGGCGGTGCGACAGTAACCAAGTCCAAGGATGAAGAAGTCGTCGAGAAATCGTTCGGCGCTCGCCGGAAGGCTGTGCCTCCCAAAACACTCGGGCAGCAATTCAAAACATCCCTGTCCAAGCTCATGGAAACGATTGAAGCGACGCATGTTCACTACGTCCGTTGTATCAAGCCGAACGCGGTCAAGTCCCCCACCGAATTCGACAAACCGATGGTCGTGGCGCAGCTGCGGTCGGCCGGCGTGATCGACGCCATCCGCATTTCCCGAGCCGGGTACCCCAGCCGTCTCTCTGCCCACGAACTCGCGACGCGGTACTCGCTCATGTTTCCACCGTCGATGGTGCAACCCACCAACGTCCAAGATACGTGTGCAAAGGTCCTGGCCAAGATGGGCTTCCACATGCCGGTTGAGTATCAAATGGGCAAGACGCTTGTGTACTTCAAGGCGGGTGTCCTCGAGGAGCTCGAAACTCTCAAGTCCGACTTTGAATATGAGCAAGCCACAATCATCCAGAAGATTGTCCTGGGGTTCCTGGCCAGGCGTCGGCTCGATCGAAAACTACGGGCGGCTGTGACGCTGCAGGCATTTGGCCGACGAGTGTTGGAGCAAAATTTCCTCCACAACATGCGCCACCGGATTGTGTCGGTGCAAGTTGCGTTCCGCCACCGCAAACTCCACAAACAGTTTGTGGCAAAGCGAGCTGCAGCAGAGGCCGCGGCACTGGCCGAAGCTCAAGCTCAGGCCGCAGCTCGTCAAGCGCGGCAAGAGGAAGCGCAATTGGCGATGCAAAACAGAAAGCAACTGGTTTTGCCGCCCAAGTTGGACGACACCAACTGGGTCGATACGTCCCCGCGGTCGAGCCACTCGACACCACTCACGTCGCCCGAAGCTGCCACGTCCGAAGAAAGCTTTGGATGTGCGCTCACGCGAGCCAAACAAGCCGAGTCGGACGCAAAGCACCTCATGCAACGTTCCGATTCCATGCTGGCCGCAAACAAGTCGTTTGAAGCGGAAGCGATACGGCTCCGTGAGCAAGTGGACCTCTTGACCAAGGAAAACGAACGGCTGCGGCAGCTGCTCAAGGACCACAGGATCCACCCGGAGACGGGCGCATCCACGTCGTCGTCGGGCAAGTGGTTGTGATGACGATGAAAGCAACGTGCGCACTCGTCTCGAGCTCCTATTTAAACACTATTGCATCTACCATCTCGTGGGTCTTATACTACTCGTGGCTCTTTCTCGATTCGGCGACGAGGTTGGCAAATATACTCTGCTTTTGCTTGAGCAGCATCGTGGGCGAGTCAAATTCGACGGCGGACCCGCGGTCCATGACGAGAATTTTGTCCGAGTCCATGACTGTGTGGAGCCGATGGGCGATCGTGATACACGTGCAAGCAGCAAAGACTTGACGGACACTTTGCTGAATCAACCGGTCCGTGTCGGCATCGATGGACGCCGTGGCTTCGTCCATGACAATAATTTTGGACTGCTTCAAGAGGGCGCGCGCAATGCAGATGAGCTGCCGTTCACCGACGCTAAAGTTGGCGCCTCGTTCGTCCACCGAGTCGTCGAGACAGGTCACAGTGAGCTGCACGCGCTTAAGAGCTACCCACAGCGCATCGTCCGCGCACCGTTGGAACGGATCGATGTTGGACCGCAACGTGCCTGAAAAGAGCACCGGGTCTTGTGGAATGATTGAGATCTGTTCGCGCAGGTCGTGCACCCCAATGGACGAAATGTCGATGCCGTCCACCGTAATGCGACCGCTGTGAATCTCTGCGAGGCGCATCAGCGCCACGACCAGGCTAGACTTTCCAGCGCCAGTGCGCCCGACAACTCCAATCTTCTCGCCACCTTGGATCGTGAAACTGAGCTGTCGTAGTACTCGTGGCATGCCCACGCGGTAGCGCAAGTCGACACACTCAAACTCGATACGCCCTGTAAAACTTGAGTTTCTGTTCAGGACGAACGAGAAGATGAAATACCTTGCTGCGGCCACGGTGGCGACTGCCGCACGTCGCTCCGCAAAGAACCCTCGGTGGCCATGACAGAGTACGCTTGAACGCGCTCGACGCTCACCATTTGCGTCTCGAGCTGACTCAAGTACCTCACCGACATGTTGAGGGCTGGCGTGACGGTGAATGCGTACGTCAAGGACACGCCTGCAAGTCCTGCAAACGCCGAAGACGTGTGGCTGTGATGCAGCACGACGAAGAGAGTTGCTAACGACGCGACCAATGCACCTGCGATAAGGTTAACAGGTCGTGCGAACAGAGCGACCCACGTACCAGACACTTCCAGACGCAGGCCAAGCCAGCAGTTGGCTGAAAAGTTCAAAAAGCACGCGCGCTGGTTCGAATCGAGCAAGTCCATGTTGCGCTGAACGAACGAAGGCTCGACTTTGTAAGCGCGAATGGTTGCAAGGCCGTCCAGAGTTTCGCCTGTCAAGGCATTGATGGGCGACCGGGATATCGAGTCCAGACGCTGCAGCTCGCGCGATGTTTTGACAAAATACCGCAGGGACGTGGCATAGAACCACATCAACGGCACGAGCGCCGTGATAAACCATGGCGTCACGACGGCGATCGTGGTGAGGGTGGCCGCCACGCTGCACACGGTCGTGAGCACGTTGGCCCACGTGGACGGAATGTCTTCGTCGACAGCATAAATGTCTTTCGACAATCGATTCATGATGCGGCCAAGCGGCGTCGCGTCGAAGAAATACATCGGTGCACGAAGCACTTGGCTGGACATGGCTTGAAAAAGCGCTTTGCTACCTTGTAGGGCAGCCAGGTACAGCCCGAGGACCCGGAGGTAGAGGAGGATTGCAAATCCCACATGAAGCCCAATAAACACCATCACGGCTCGGCGATGGCTTGCAGCGTCCAGGCTCTGGTCTTCCGTGGACCAGTGGCTTAGCCAAACCGTGGCTGCGACGTTGGTGGCTTGCGCGAGCGCAAAAACCACCATGACTCGTACAGCCACCCATGTGCCGCCGCAAGCTTGAATCCAAAAGGCAAATACCGGCCATGGAACGTCGCCGGTCGATCGATCTTCGTTTAACACGATCGTCGATGGTTTGTCCGCTATCTCGCTGGAAGGCACCCGAACCAAGGCATGTCCTGGGGTGGTTCCAAACTCGTCGCTGTCTCCTTCGTCATCCGATTCTTGTGGTGGAGGAGCGTCCGACACTTTATACTTCGTCACCATCGACGCCAATGTGCCGTTCGGGACCTCGAGAACGTTCGAGTACGTTCCATGCTCGACGATGCAGCCTTGGCTTAGAACCATCACGTTGTCGCAGTGTGGAAGGATCTGGAGATTATTGGTTACCATCAGGACCAACTTCCCTCCCAGCATTCCACGAATGCACTCTTGGAAGATGGTGGCGCCAACATGAGCATCGACTGAAGCCAAGACGTCGTCCAGTAAGTAAATGTCGGCATCTTGGTACACAGCCCGTGCCAGCGCCACACGCATGCGCTGCCCGCCGCTCAAGTTCATGCCTCTCTCTCCAATCTCGGTGAGGTCGCCGCCAGGTAAGATCCGCAGATCCGCTTCAAGACAGCACACCCGAACGACGGCGATGTACCGACCATACTCGTACGGCAAGCCAAAGCAAATGTTGTCGCGAACGGTTGCATTCTGAATGAATGGCTGCTGGGCGACGTAAGCCACCGATCCCCGCACCGCAACCGTGCCTGGAATTCCAGTTAGTTGACTAGGCAGACCGTCAGTACCTTTCGTGCATGTGGCATCACCCAAAAACCCAGACAACAGCGTCGACTTGCCACTGCCGACCTCCCCAACGACAGCGAAAATTCCTTGGTTTTCCAATCGAAAGGACAAATTCGAAATGATATCGTCCATCGCGGATGCACGACGCTTGGGTACCACCGGCTGCTCCCATGAGAAGGCGGCGCCGTCGACAAGCAATCCAATGGTTTGGAGCGTCCCGCATCCGACCGGAGTTTGCTCTGGTTCCAAGAGAAATGCTTTGAGGCGTTGAAAACTCACGTTCGCTTCAACGATCGCGTTGATGACGTTTGGCAAAACGAAGAGCGGGTATCGCATGATGGCGATCAGCGACAACGACGTGAGAGCAGTCAATGTGTCGATGGAATTCCCAAGCAAAACATACGTGGTGAACGCGGCGATCGTGACCAACGACGGCACGCCGTTGAAGAGCGACGTGGATGCAGTGCGAGCCATGAGATACGATGTCAGCTTCCCCAGTTCGTCTGCGCGAAAGCTTGCAACGCGGTTCGCAAAGTGGATTTCCCACGCCTGCAACTTGAGCACTTTGATGCCGCTGAGGACCTCGTAGCACACCTTGACCCGACTGTCCCTCACTTCCATGAGCTGCTTCTGCAGAGCGCGCATGACACGAGCGATGCACAGCGTCACAGGAATCACAAAGAGAATCACCGCTAGCCCTGCAAACGCAGCAGTGCCAACGTGGCAGCACAGCAGCGTGCACGATGTGGCGATGAGGAAAGGACCGTACCTAGCAAGTACAACGTGGTCACGGTCAAAGGAAGGGTACTGTGGCGTACCAGATCGCATGCAGATCCGCCAAGAGGTCTTGAAGACGCTGAGCATCAATGGACATAAGGTTTGTGATTTCGCCAGCCGAGTGACGAGTCATCGCCCCGACCGAGAGAGCGAGACTCTTTTGGTACACAGCCGTGACAATGGCCGATCGAACGAGCAAACCAGTCTCAAAGACGAGGTACAGATAGTTCCGAAAGCACAAGGACTGCAGGATGCCCCCTACAAAGACCAACCCGACGTAGACGAGCCCTTCCGACACAAGGGCAGTCGGCGTAAGGAGGAACGCGATCACGCGCTGCAACACAAAGGGACCAATGAACTGGAGAGTGTCGCGAATGAATCGGAGGGCGCCAGCAGCCATGAATTTCGCTCCAAACGCACGAAAGAGTGCAGCAGCAAGACTGGGCGATGTCTTTTGAAGCTCCATGTCCCAACATTTCCTGAAACGCGCGGAGGCAGCGTTGGCCCGCAAGTCTGGGTTGAGTTGGAACAAGTCGTCCATTTCGAGTGGTCGCTTGTTGCCGAGTTCCATGACGGGATTCATCCAAGTGAAGAGCATCATTTGCATGCATCCTTCCTTCTCAGGGCACGAATTACCCAAAGGCGCTGTCCGCGGCAGCAGCGGTCGCTTTTCCATTCCTCACGCCCCTGGAACCACTGGTTCGTCTGTCAAGCCAACCCGTGAAGGGTCACTTCAACATTGTTCTTTTTATCCATCTACACCTTAGATAGGTCGTAAGAGGGATATCAAGGGCTCAGGAAGCGCACATGACGAGGAAGGCGACATCCACGAGAGAGTCGAGCGAGATGCAAGATGCGTGGGCATGAGGCGCACCCTGTTACGGCGGCCTGAGCCAGAGTCCGCCGGGGCGACAGCGCCATCGTGCATTTGACCACCCTTAGATTAAAAGACGAATACAAACGTCTCGAACAAATATTCCGGATAAAATACTTTATCCGGAAGTGGGCATGTCGTCCCAGAGCGGCTCATTTGGCATGAGTGCGATTTCCGTCGAAGATGTCCGCGTCGATAACGAGAATGGACGGACGGACGATGGCGACGACGGAATCGAGACGATTGAGACGGTGAAGGTCGATCCAAAGCCTATCACGACGTATGTTACGTTCATGGACTTATATCGACGGAAGAAGAAAGCTATGTCGCTTGAAGACATCGTTGAAAGAGACAAACGAGTGCAATTTGACACCAGAGACAAGTCAAGCACGTTTCGATATGGTGCTGACGAGCTGGATGTACTTACAGAGTCGTCGCATACATACTCGGCGGCGTGGTCTCGCCAAAAGCAGCTTCAAACACTCAAACAGAATCGAATTGGCAAGCCCAACAAGCGCTTTCCATCAGGAACTTCAATTCAGTCGTCTGCCATACCATACTCACTTCCCACGATTCCAATCTCTGCGTACCATCGTGTTCACCAAATTCCTTGGGAAAATGCGATCTTGTGGGGAGACGAGTCCGACACAACGCCGCCATTTGTTCCCGAAGAAGACGAAAGCCCGTTTGAGACAGGGATTCCATCGAGTGCCCAACGCACTCAGACAAAACGTCGCCAATCTCCAGTGTACCAATTGTCAAGCTACGACTCCGCGGCTTTCGCATTTCCCGACGACGACTTCGACATGACCAAGCCACGACAGTATCGATGGGAAATGCCCCGACGACCAGCTACCGCAACTACGAAAGCGTCATCCTCATCTGAAAAGACAATTCTCCCATGTGCGTTGAATCCGGCGCTGTTGGACTCATCGTGGCAGGAAGCTATCGGGTGGGACGATACTGAGGACATGCCGCCATCCCGCATCCTTTTGGACGAAAATGACGTGCATTTGATCTTGTCCAACCCGCTCGTGGAGAACGTGCGAGCGACCCTCCGCATCCCACAGCGCAAAATGGGTGCGATCGAGATCAGGAAGGAGGAGCTCAAAAAGCAGATGAGCGACAAGAATACCCGTCTCGACGTCGTACGTGGCAACTTGGAATGGGGACAGCAAACTGCCGAGAGTCGATTTGGCGAGATGAAGCGCAGCAAGGACCCGCGTATCATCAAGAACATGGGTCACGTCCACCACTCGCTCCCAGCGATCAAACTTAGCTTGACCAAGCCGGAGTTGCCGCTGGCCAAACTGAGAGAGTTCCATCGACCACGCGGCAAGTTTAAGATTCATGAGCGAATGCCTGTGGTCAGCGCCAAGAACGCCGAGAAGAGCAAGAGTGTCAAGGTGGCCGACGCCGATCTGAACGACCCAACGTTGTCCCAAATCAAGAAAACATCCGACCTAAACCCGACGGCGGGAGGAAAGCTCATGCTGCTCGAGTACACGGAGCAGTATCCCCCGATGCAGGCGAACCCTGGCATGGCGTCGCGAGTGTTGCACTACTGGCGTCCACCCGACACTCGAGGTGAAGGCAAGGCGGACGAAGGGGCAGGGAAGGGCAAAGAAAGAAAGAAGAAGCCCCATCCGCCAACGGTCAGCCTTGGCGAGGTCGTCACGCTGGGCGACAACGAAGACTCGCCTTTTGTGGGTGATGTGCCCGCAGGCAAGATGGTCACCTCCCTAAACTCGAAACTGTTCAAGATTCCTATCTTTCCCCATTCACCACGCCCGAACTTCCTCGAACCATTTGCCGACGATAAGTACGAGATTTTTCTGGTGGCGCGGTCCGTATCGAAGAAGGGGAAGGGCGCATCGACCATGTACATCATGGAGCTCCCGATGTTGTACTTGGCTGGACAAGTGGAGCCCCAGATCGAGGTGCCGGCCCCGAATTCGAGAAGCGCAAACGACTTTATTCGGCCGTACATGTCGTTCCACATTCTGCGTCTGTTCAAGAAGACGAGTGATGGCGAGCGCTTGAAGATCGAAGACATCACGCGAGCGTTCCCAAACCAGTCTGGCACAGCCATTCGAAAGCGGATGAAGGAAGTGGCGACATTTGAGCGCGGAGGAAACGACTCGGGATGGTGGAAGCGCAAGCAGTCGTCGGACGTGATCAGTGAAGAAGAGATTCGCGCAAGCGTGTCGCCTGAGTCTGTTTGTCTGTACGAGAGCATGATGAGCGGTCATCAGCGCCTGTTGGACATGGGGTTGACGAAGCAGTTCACCCCGACTGGAGTGCAAGCTGCCATCAGCCAAATGACCAAGCGCCTCAAGTACCGCGAGAGTTTGCTGTCGTCACGCATTCTGGTGCCGCAGGGTTACACGGGTCGACACCTGGCGGAAGAAGAGAAAAAGCTGTGGAATCGAGACCCCGTGCTGGTGACGTTGCGCAACGACATTCAGATCGCTCGATCTATCAACGAACAGCTACTGCTGACGCCGTGGAATTTGACGAATGGTTACGTGGAGTGTCATTTGCAAGGCAAGGGCTCGGGTATGTTGCAGCTCGGTGGTCTGGGTGATCCGTCTGCGCGTGGGGAAGGGTTCAGTTTTATCCGCGTACCTCAGTCGCGTGCGAAGAAGAAGGAAGAAAACGAAGAGCTCGCAGTGTCTGAAGCTGAAGTGCAAAAGGCGGTGGCCGCGGTGACGGGGACAACAGCAGATTTACGAAAGCTCAAGATGAAGGAAGCGGGAGATGTGCTCAAGAATCTTGGGATGGCTGAGGAAGACATTCTAAAATTGCGGCGATGGGATCGTATTTACATGGTGCGAGAGCTGAGTACTCGTGCTTCGGCGCACGGAATGGCTGGTACCCTGAACAAGTTCGTCCGCGGGGCGCGGAAGTCGCTGAGTGCACAACAGCAGGAGTACCGACGAAAGTGCGACGTGATTTATCTCCGTCAGTTGGAAGTGCTGAGCTCAACGGAGCATGACTTCGAAGACGACAGCGAAAGCGGGTCGGACGACGACGATGACTTTATTGAAGATTTGGAAGACGATTTGCTGGGCGATGACGTCGCCACGACAAACGCGACTCGAGGCCCTCAAGGAATTTTCAAAGCTGGCGGGGGCGGGTTGACTCGCACCAAGACCACCATGTCCGAGCGAGACGACGCCCACGAACTGCGACGTTTGATGGAAGAAATGAAGAGTGGCGGCGGTGGGGTCACAGCTTCTTCGACAGGAGGAGGTGGAAGCCGGCTTAGCCGTCCTGAGGTTGACGCTTCCAACCTGCGCATCCAACTCAAAGCTAGCGGCATCAAAGACAGCTTGAATACTTCGATGTCGTCCATGACGTCGACCAAGGGAAACTCCGTCGCGTCATCTGCGATCCCATCCCCAGTCGATCCTGCGTCGCGAGCGCAGTCACCTCGGGCGGGAGGAATTCGTCAAGCCATCAAGCGAACGACCCGGATCATCGATGACGACGGCACTGAGACTGTCAAGATTGAATTTGTTGTCGATCCAAAAGCGATTGGTCGGTACAAAGCGGCTCAGAGTTTCAAGGAGCGCCAAAAAAAAGACGAGGAGCGAAACCAGCTCCGGAAACGCAAAAAGCTGGAAGGGGCGGAGACTGACAAGAGTTTACTGAAGAAACAGATTGCCGATGAGCTCAAGCAGCTCAAGAAGAAGGAAGAAGCAACGAAGGGATATGTGGAAATGCTGGAGAAAGGCCAGGACGTGGCCGCCGGGGGTCGCGGGGCCATCAAATGCACAGCTTGCGGACAACTGGGTCACATTCGGACAAACCGTAACTGCCCTCTGTTCATCGAGTCCAAGACCGACCCACCACCCAAAAGCGTCAAGTCGGACGCCCCGTTGAAATTGACGCTGAAGAAATCCAACTTGGAAGACATCATGAAGGAGGACAGCAATAGCTTGACCCTGAACCTGACCAATCTGCGTGAAGGCGCGCGAAAGCACCAGATTGAAAAGAAGCGCAAGCGATTGCAGGACGTGGCTGAAAGCGCCGAGATTTACAAGAAGCAGTATGGCTCCAAGGACAAAAAGACTGAACATATTCGACTCCCGATCGCGCGGCTGAATGGTTTGCTGGAGAAAGTTCTGTTCAATCTCTTGGGAATGCCGGAGAGCGCGCTGTTTCGCGAGCCGGTCGACGGCAGCTTGATCCGCGACTATTACAACATTATCAAGCGACCGATGGACCTAAAGCGGATGCGCGCAAAGATTCGAGACCTGGAGTACGACTCCATGCGGACATTTTTAGCGGATGTGGAGCTCATGGCGACCAACTCGAAGATGTACAATGGCGAACTCAATCCAATCACAAAAAATGCGTTCAAGGTGCTGGAACGGGCCAAGGATGACCTCCAGCAGCTCAATACGGACGGCGCGTTGCATTCGCTGCAAAAGCTAGCCCGAACCCAGTCGGTGTCGTAGCCCGTCGTGTTGTTCGAATACAACTTGTACCGTCTGGACAACAGGGTGTCAACCGATCCGAATTACCCGACGGTGCTCATTTGCACCAGCGTCTTGGCGCTCCATCGAGTGTTGGAAGGAAATAGCATTTGACCACTCGTGCAGTTTGCTAACTCGGTGTGCTAAAAACGGATCAGGTGGAAAATGTCGTGGAAGAGTCTTTATGTGCTAAGACGCTGCCTGCTGCGACAGCCGTTCAAGTCGCCGCCGCTGCTCCGTGAGCATGAATTGAAAGTCGAACTCGCCCGGCACTTGACTCAGCGGATGGTCCGCTTCGCCGCCCATGTACTTGGGGACATACTGGGGAGCCATGAACTCTTCCAGTTCTTTCCCAGGATGCTTCATGAACTTGGCCTTTTCCCGAAGTCGGACGGGAAGCAGAGGTGACAGCATGCGCGTCAACGTTTTCACCAGAGTGGTGAGTGGCCCGATGCAAATGGCGCCGATGCGATCGGGGTAATTGCCAGAACAGACCTCCATCAGACCTTTCATCAGCCGAATATCCACTTCTCGGTATCCAACATCTCGACAGTCGGTCACGAGCGTAAATGTGGTCACTCCCGGCGGCATCAGGTGCTTGATTCCGAGCTCGATCATAAACACATGAGCACGGATCTCAAGCGCAGTGTCCATCTTGCCCCAATTTTTGAGCTTCGGTCGCGTCCAAATGATAGGTCGGTTGTGGTAGTCGTACCCAAACCAGTAGAACGAGCAATTCGATAGCTGAGGCAAGATCTCGTCCATCGTGATCGTGGCTGCACCGTACGACTGCCGCCAAGCAATGCACCGCTGTAGTTTCTCTGCCGCATACGTCATGGTGCGATTGCGGACATTCAGGACGCTGTACAGGTAGTCGTCCTTGAAAAGAAAACTGTTTTCGTCCGTGATACTCAGCATGGTTCGGAAGGAGGCCACTCGAGCGAGCTCGTCGGCAGTCAACGACACAACAGGTTCAGTCGTCGCGATGGTCGTGGGGCTACCTGAGTCGCTCCACGTGGACGACGCCGTGGTCGACGGGATGGGCGTCTCGCCGGCGCGATTTTTGCGATTTCGGAGCTGATTTGGCGATGGCAGGTCGACCGATGTCGTGGATGGTGCTGTCATTCGTTTCGTCTTGGGCTTTTTGGTTGGCGCAGTTAGTTTGGCAGGGAGGTGAGCAGGTGCGGCAGCAGTGATGAGCGGGTCGTGGAAGTACATCTTGCCACCGACACAAAACGCGACAAGCAATAATTTCAGCCCGAGTGACATGGACTGGAGACTGTCCAGTAGCAGGATGACAAGGAACGAAGCCGCAAGCAGCTGCATGCCGTGGATTCTGAGGTCGTCGCGCCGGACAAGGTCCTGCCGGTATTTTTCTTCCTGGCACTGAATTTCCATCAGCGTCTCTTCCGCCGTCGGCGCCACCGATCGCGTGATGGACGACGACAGGACATACCGCTTCCTGGCGTTTTCAAAACTGTCCGTGTCGTTGTCCATTGGACTAAAGTATCCGCGGGCCAAGAGTTGGTTCCCCAGCACGACCGCGGCGTCTTCGTTAAGCAACCCAGCGTTCATGAGGCACTCCACGGCGTCCGTTCCGTAGATGCATTCCTTGAGCGTGAGCTCCTTTGCCGCGTCAAATGCCAGACCGCTCCGGTCCAGGTCCACCGCCGAGATCGACAAATCTTCGTTCGGACGAGGATCGTCGACAACGTACGAGATCTCGATCTCGGACAGCATGCTTACGAACAAGTTGTGCAGTTCGGGGCAGTAGTACCCGTTGGACTGGTTCTGCAGCGACTGTTCGACTTCGTCGTCGCCGTCGTCGGCGTCCGGCATGGTGTGGAACTGCTTTTGGAGGTTGACCTGGGTGCGCGACACTGTCTCGAAGAGGCAGTCGTCGTCCAAGAGGGTGTACTGCGACACCATGTGCTTGAAGTACCCTTCGTTCAGAAGCGTGTTGCCCAGGATCACCGCTTCCGTTCGAGATTTGATCCCAATGTGCTTCTGCAATATGTCTAGAACGTCCTTCCCACGAAGGAAGACGCTGCCGCGCTGAGTTTGAAGGTCATGGATGAGCCGCCGAGCAGTATCGATTCGATCCATGTTGTCTGCGGGAAGCGAGGTCACAGGAGCCTCCTTCGCAGAATTGGCCGCGACATCCTTGGCAGGGCAGCGGACGCGTTTGAGCTCAAGAATATTCGTTTGAATGGCGGAAATCCACTTTTGCTTGACTTGGGACGACGCCACATCAATGATCCACTCCTTAGTGGCGTGGTGTTCGTCATCGACCTCGATGACGCGGAAGCAGTGCAAATGGTCGGACGAAACCACTACCGTCTCGCACGTGGCATCCCGTAGCTGTACGCACTCCAAACTGCACTGGGACTTGGGACAGAAGAACGAGAGAGATGCGACTTCGAGGACCATCACGCGCGAGATCCATTGGTACTCGGACGCGCGGAGGAGAACTTTGCCCCGCATCCTGCCGCTCTACGAAATGGGTTCTTCCGTTTCGTCCCGTGTATAGTCAAGTCCAGATATTCCGATCGTCACCCTTTCCAACCCGCCCGCCCCGCCCATCCACCTGGTCATCCACATGTGCGGCCATCATCTAACCCCGAAACCATGGCATGAAAAATGCATTTCCTAAATATCCATGCGTTTACGAGAGCTTTGCATACAACTTGAGGCGACCGGCCGTGCGACCACTGTTGCGGCGGTCCATGGTCGAGTTGGGCGTGTCGGGGGCCGGCAGTCCCACAATCTCGTACTTGACAGTCACGCGGCCGTTCACGTCCTTCTTGGCGCCAGCCTGCATTTCCAGGACCGTCTCCATGACGGGCGTGTTGATGTCGAGCGGTAAAAAGGCCGACCCGACCAGGTCGTCCGAGAGCATGCTCTTATCGAAGACCGTGATCAAGCACCGCGACGTGTCGGGTTTCCACTCAAACGTAAACGTTTCCTTGTACGCAACGTGCGTGCCCGTCTTGGCCGACGTCTTCTGCACCTTTCCGCCAATGTCGACGGCCACAAACGGCGTTATGTTGGCATTGCGTCCAAACAAGTTCTTCAGCGGCGTCAGGTCCGACACGTCCAAGATGGTCACCATCACTTGGAGGTTCTTCGACGCTTTCTGGGACGACATCTTGGCTTGCAAAAAGTACTCGCGCTCCATGCGCGGCACCTCGACCGAGATCAGCGACGGATCGACGCCAAAATGTTTGTCCACGTTGGATGCGGTGGGGGTCGACACGTTTTGCGTCACCCACTGACTTAGTGGCGACGCAGCCTGCGGCGGCGTAAAATCCTGCTTCAACTCGTCCAGAGACATCTCGAGCTTCCCAATCTCCTCTTCAAATGAGGTAAAGTTGTCCTTGACGACAAACTTGATGCGCTTCGTGTTGGGCTTGAGTTCGGTGCGAAACTTGGCGTGCCATTCAGGGTTGCTCGACCCGAACAGGACCTTGGTATGAAATACCTTGGTGTCGTCCAAGTACACATAACACACGGCATTGCACTTGCCGGCGTTCGCAGCCAACAAACCACTCGCCGAAATGATCTCCAAGTCGAGCTGCGACGTCTCAGTGCGTGGCACGAGCTTCTTGTTTTCAAACTTCAATTCCTTGCGGCGACGTCCGTGGAATGGCACCACGTCTTCCAGATTCTCCGACGCTTCCTGGGCCAACGCGTGTGTGGTTTGCGTCACACCCTTCAGCACCACAACGACCGGACCCGCGAGCCCTTGGACAGTCCCCTGAACGAGCCCGCCAACGCCACCAGAGATGGCGCCTTCGATTGGTTTGGTGAAGACGCCGGCCACTCCCTTGCCAAAGTTCTTGGCAAAGTTGATGCTGCCATCCAAAATGTTGTCGTGGTCCTTGTCCGACGAGATGACTTGGCGCGTGTCCGTCACGTCCGACACTTCGTCCATGAACTTGTCCAGACTGCCAGTGACCTTGGACACAAACCCCGTCGCCGAAGTCGCCACCGTCTTGCCCAGAATCTTGACGCCTTCGCCACGCGTCTTCGAGTCACCAGTCAGTTCGTCGCCCGTCACTTTTAGGAACGAAATGATGCCACTGCCAATGTCCCCAACCACCCCCACAGGGTTCCCCAGTAAATCCATCGACCCCACGAGCTTGTATGCTTGAACAACGACTTCGCGCGTGTAATTCTGGACAAGTTGCGACTGCAAGCGCGACTGGGTCGTAAAGCAATGGCGCTTCGTGATCGGAGCAAAACGAAATGTCGGCGACCCACTAATCTTGGAGCCCAAAATGCCAACCAACTGATTCAGGGCGTTCACAAGCCACGAACGAGACTGGAGCGGTCGGGTCAAGTCATCCTTTTGAATTTGCATCTCCAGTTGGAATTCCGTTTCTTGGATCGTAAACTTTTCAAAGTACATCAAGTCGGACGACTTGGTCGCGATGGGCTCGGGGGCAGTCAGCGGCTTCGAGTTCAAGTCCAAAGCGAGCTTTTCTTGCGAAACGACTTGAGACCCAGACAAGAGCAGTGGCTCCAACAGGTTGAGCAGCTTGAACAGGTACTCCAACTCGAGTTTCACCGACAGAGGCTGGAGCGAGATGTCCATCAGCTTGAGGATGCCGTACGCCTCGGACAAACTCTCAATGCGCTCAATCACCAACTTGAAGCAAGGAACGTCCGCATCTCCATTGAATCCACTGTTGACGGGGTTCATCACGACGGGGAAATGCGCCCCTGCAAGCATGTTGTCCACCTGGAAGTGAAACACAGACACTTCCCACTCCAACGACTGCGGCTTGGTACGAACTTGAATGTTCTCCATCGAAACGTACAACACTTCCTGGGGGTACCCATCCAAGACGCTCACGCCAAACCCAGCCAACCGAACGTCAATCGACGTTGCGTGCCACGCCGTCGTCAGGGCAGCATTCGCCGGCACTTGCTTGCGCAGGGCGTCCAGCTGCTGTAACTTGGCATCGACAATGCGCAAGACTCGCGTGGTGCCGACCGGAACGACTTCGAGGCGGCACTTGGACTGCCCATCCAATATCCCCAGCAGGTTCGACGACTTGACTTTGCCAACCGTGTCGATGTCGACAGTGTACTTTTGGTTCTGGATCACTACTTCCAGCTTGTGATCGTTCACAAAGGCCAAATCCCATGCAAAATCGTAGCGCTGGCCGCGGCCTAGAGTCACGTTGCCTTGCTTCTGTTCAGCTTGGCGAAGCGACACTGGAAACATCGAAAAGTTCTCCACGCGGTACGGCGGAGAGCTCGACGCATCGCTCAGGACAACGTACACATGAGTGCCCAGCATTTGGATCGCCGCCTTCACAATGTACTCTCGCTTGCGAGTAGTGCACTTGAGTGGGAAGTACACGTCACCGACTATGTTGACAGAGATCACTGACGACCACACCGAGCTGCCCTGCATCGCCATACTCAAGTACTTTTGACACTTGAACAACGGCTCCTTGTTGAGTTGCTTGAACGGGTACACTGCTCCGTTGATATGACTGTTGAGCGCAAACACATCCAGCGACGACAGTAGCTTGTCGTTCATGATTTGGTCGCTGTCGCTCGTGGCAAACGACCGGAATTGAACGTCAAATGGCGTGTGATTTTGAACAATGTAGCGCGGACTCAACGACAGAGCAACGGATCCATCAAAGAAGCCCATCAACCCGGCAATGTCGACACCAAACACGTGCGATCCACTGTAAATTTCACCGTTTGTTTGGACGGCCGACACGTTGATAGGGTCCGACCACGGCGACTGCGCGTTCAATTGGGAGAACACCGACGGTTGCGAGTGGTCGTTCGAGTGCAGTGACTCCCAGGACGGCGGCAGGACGTCTCCAGAGCTGACAGGACGGAAGCTCAGGCGGTTCTTTGGCATGGCGAGCATGATGGGTTGGTTGAATACTGGATGGAGGTTGAGGGTGGCGGGTACTTTGCTACCTTCGTCGTCCGGCAGGCGAAACTCGAGTCCCAACGCAGTCTTGTTGTAAACCCAATACGGCGCCGAGAACTTGACTACACGGGGCTTGTCAGGCACGCTGATGCGTTGGACGTTCACCGACAAATTCGCCTCCAAGTCGCACTTTTCAGCGGGGGTGGTAAAGATTTCAACTCGAGAATTGATCACCATAAGCATCGCTTTCGACCAGCTCGACTTCGTGTCGTTGTGGACCAAACGAACTGCCATGTACCCAGGAGTTTGACCAGACACCCCAGGGACTTCGCCATAACAGCCCGATTTGACTTTGAACGTGGCCGTCGACTCGTGCAACTTTTGTTCAATGGTCGCCATGTCGTACTTGACGCCCTTCTCCATGCGGTACTCCATAAAGACATATTCGAGCTCGTAGGGCAAGGCGTTCTGGACGACGAGCGGGGCGTACACGGCAATTTCCCACTGAATCATGTTGTCAGCCATGACATGGCGGTAGAGGTGGACGCAAGGGTTGAGAACTTTGACGAGTTTGGACGAACGACGTTGGTCTTGGATCGGCACAATTGTTCCTTTGCGGAGGGAATGGGTCGACGTGCTCTTGACGATAGTTCGCTGCTCGTCCGAAGGAGCTTCCAGGAGCATGTCGTTCGTCAACTTGACGCTAGTGTTCCACGACTCTCCATTGACCGGACGCACGTACAATTCTGTGTCGCCCATAAAGACAGAGATGGGCAGTGCCAGTCGCTCGTGGGCAGGAATCAAAGTCACCTTGTCGTTTTGCGAAGTAAACCCAGTCAAATGGATCAAAAACTTCAACTCCACGTCCAACAGGCTTTGGTTTGTCACGTACACGTTCGACTTGAGAGTCACCGACCCGTCGTTCGGGTCGTCGAAGCGGCAGTTGGCAATCAGCGAAATTGCATGGCCAGTCGAAGTCTCCTTCACGACAATTTCTTGAGGACCAAAACGCGGCAACGAAATACCAGACTTTGACCCCCACTCAGGAATGTCCAGCGTACAATTGTCGCGCGATGGCCACTGGATCGGAGTCACGGAACGAGGCGACAGCTCTATCTCCCTTTCGTCTGCACCAAATTTCAACGACACGCCAGTCAAGTTTGTAATTTGAAAAGGCAACTGGCCCTTTCGCTTTTGGACTTTCGGCGCATCTTCAATGACCAGTGTTCCCGACATAATTTCAGGCAGGATCTTGAGCAACTGCAGCAGCGACGACGACAAGTTGATTTGGAACAGGCGCTCGGCTTCTCCCCAATAGTGGAAACCTTCCGAACCCCTCTTGCTCAGTGCTCCCATCGAGAACACCCACGGCTCAATGATGTACTCCATGGCACACGACAGATCACTGTAGCACTCAGCAGATACGTGAAAGCCTATACACGACATGTAAGATACACTGCGCATCGCGTAGCATACAATCCATACCCATGGTTCCGGCCCACTCCGAGTTGACCGCATTGACGTCGTACACCGTCACCCCAATGTCAGACGCCATGTTGAATTGACAGGTCACACTGTCGATGACAAACTTGGCTCGGCGTGCTTCGATGGGCAAACTAGCGTCAACCATTTCCACACGCAAGTTGCCCAGGCTCATGTTGGTGGCAACAATCAAACGGGCCAACGCGGTTGTGGAGACAATCTGCTGGGGGGTCACTTCTTCGTGCTTGACCTCTTGGCTCATCATTAGCTTTCCGGCCGACTCGAATTCGACCAAACCACCAGTCAAATTGTCTCGCTTCACACTCCAAGACAAGTCGCCTTCGTCTTGAAGCATCGGCTGGATGATGACTTGCCAGCATTGCTGGGCGGCGTCAAAGTTCTGCAGCAAACGCACAAGCTTCTTCTGCAAGAGTTGGGGGACTTGGCTGTTGCACGATGTCTTTTCAGCACCCGTTTCAGACGTATACACATTCCAAAATTGTACTGAGTTTTCCCGTGCGATTCGCAAGAAATACCCGTGCCAGTCGACAATCGAATCGCGCTGCTCAAATGGCATGATCTTGCCAAAGCGAGTTTGGACCGTGTCCAAGCAATCGTATTCGCCCGCAAACAAGTCCAGGTACCCCCTGACGTGTTCAACGTTCATGGTTTCGACCAAAAAGTGCTTGAATTCGTCGAAGTCGATCGTGCCACTGCCATCCTTGTCAATGTGATTGAAGATGGCCGTACTGAGTTCTTGGAGCTCCGACAGCAGGAGCTTGTCGTGGACAATGGCACGTTGCAGCAGCAATTGTAGCTCATCCACCTCGATGCTCTTGGTGCCATCCACATCGATCTCTTCAAACTGCGCTTGTGCATGGTCCTGCAAATCCAATCAGTTGAAAATCAATACAGGCGCTCAAACCGTACCAATCGTTTCTTAATCTGGAGTTCCATTTCCGCTTCTCTTGCCGCGGCCTCGATTTCCAATCGCTTCTGGCGCTGCTCTGCCGTGGACGTTTCGATCTTGCTCAGGTTTGTCAAGGCGCTCCAAAAAATGGCAAAGTTCAACTGGGAAAACGAGAGCGAAATGTCGGGGATTTTCACGGCAAGTCCCTGTTTGAACTGTGGCCGGGTCAAGTCCTGCCCGACAGCTTGGGTGCGTTTCTCGTCGTCGTTCAACAGTTTGAGGTCGTAGTCAGTCATGATCGTCATGGGCGTCAAGAGCGATTCGGCAGACGGCGGCGAAAAGATGGTCGGGAACCCCGTCGTCTCTTCGGGGGCCTGGTACAACCGAGGTGACAGCGCTGTGTCCGAAATGGCAACTGAAATCCGCTCATGAGTCAGATCGCTGTCAATATCAAGAACCACCGTCATCGTGCATTCGAGCAATGAGCCAGTGTGTTCGACCACCGGTGGAATGAGAAAAATGCTCAGGTCCATCACTCGAATATTGATGTCGTAGAGCGCCCCGCCAAGGATGGAGCACGAACTGATGTCGCGGAGGTTGGACGGAATCGCATTGGTTTGACTCGCCACGATCGCTGTCGACGTTGTTGCTCCAGTGTCTTGCGCGGCAGTCTTGGCTGCTTGAGCTCCCATTTGCAATCGATCCAGATACAACAGGAAATGCTCCAGCGGATCCTTCGCAGCGTACAGTGACATGTTTTCCAAGTTCAAGTCGACGTCCATGTGGCCATTTCGGAATTGTTTTAAGTGACCAAACAACAGCGGTTGCACCGTCGCGTGCGAGATCAACTGGGACCGCTGGCATTCCATCGACGGACAGTCCGTTGTGAGCTGGATGTTGCGGATGCCATACGTCAACTCCAAGCTCAGGTCTTCCACGAGGCGCGTCTTGACAGTCATGTACACGTTGCTCATCACCATGTCACCAATTGGTTCGGCCAAATTGCCGTCGAAAAACTTGATGTCCCACTGGTCGACTTGAATGGCAATGTCCTTTCCCAGGAAGGAAGCAGCGTCGTTTGCAAGCTTCTCGTGGAGGTGCTCGAAGTCCACTGAGTCTTGCCCGGCGGACCGGAGCATGACCCCCCACTTCATGATGTTCTGGCGCAGCTTGAGGATTGCCGACAACGTGAGGGATTTCTCCAGCTCCGTAATGGTTTCGTTGGGCTCGACTGCGTTGGCCTTGGGGTCCCACTTGAAAGCTTCGATGTACCGATGGGTGTCTTCCGTAGAGAGGTTCGACAGCGATGCTTCAACTTGTTTTCCCTCCAATTGCTCCAGCAGGGCACAGTACTTGAGGTAGCAAATGTAAAATCGCATCAACGACGTGTACAAATCTGGGCTGAGCGTCATGAGCATAGATTGGGGGTCCAACTTGACGCCCAGAATCTTCTGGGGCAAAGGTCGGGGCGAATACATGACTTCGTACACGTCAGGCATGTTCAGATCCAAGTTTAGAGATGGAAAGCTGAGGATGCGGGTGTCGCCAATTACAATTCCGAGGTTCTTGAACACCATTGCGCGGTTTGTCTTGAGAGTTTCTTCGCTGGGAGTGCATCGCATGACCCAATCGTCTGCGACGAGCTTCAACGACGTCGCAGGTGTCGCAGGCTCGTTACCAACAAACGAAAATGTCAGTTTGTTCACAGACAACTCCATCGTTTCGACAATTGAACGAGTCAATTTCTGCGTCCACGTGGGAGCAACTTGGGGACCGGATGGTTGGAATCGACCTATGTAGTCGAGCACAAGTTGCGTAGCAGTGTTCGCCTGCGACAGCTTGTTCTCGATGGCGCGCTTGAGGTATTCTTCGTGGTCCTTCTCAAAGGAATCGTCAATTTTACCTTCAATGTGGAAGTCGGTGATCTGGATGGGCATGCGGTAGGAGTAAACTCCGTTGGCACCGAAAAACGCCGGTAATTGCAGACGCATTCTTGTGATCGTCACTTTGGTAAATTCCACAGGGCCGGGGAGGGAGAACCGAAGGGAAGAGAGGTAGCTTGGCTGCACCGAGATGTTTTCAATCGTGACGGTGCCCTCGAGCACGTTGTAGAACACCTTCACGAATGCCTCGACATAATTCTTCGCGCCGCTCGCCACTGCCGAGCTCAGCAGAGGACCTATGATGGCCTTGGCCAAGGGGGGCACCACACACACAGACGCGATCAGTGCTGTGATGCCAAGGAATATGAAGCCCATATCGTACGACATATGCAGACAGCCGCGCGAGTCTTCGTGACGACAGCCCGTTGGCAAAATGAACAGGACGATTCCGATTTTCATGGATTTTCTTCCCCACGTGAACCGGACATTTTATCCGGACAACAGGTTTAACGGTGTCGGGTGATTTGCAATACACGTTGAATTCAATGTTGCGGTGCAGTCCAGAATAAAACGCATCGTTCGAATGAATAAAACGGCTCTCACCTGGAGCAGTCTCATGTCCGGATATTTTTATCCGTACTGCGCAGAAAACGGACGTCAAACGGTTTTCATGAGCAATGTAGGAATCATTTATACCTTTTCGCAAATCGATTTAAATGAATTCTTTTCTATTCCACCCTGGCCAATGAAACTGCTCCAATTACCATGTCAACCAAAGTCAAATTCGAGAGATTGAACCAGCGACGCGCGAGTCGTCGGACGCATGACAGTCCTGGATGACATTCGGATGCTTCTGCATTCGATATGCCATGCTCCTCTGAAGAATACACTCGAGGAGCATATTGAGTACATCAAAGGTGTTCAAAAGCAAGCCTGTGCGATCTTATCTGTGTTGGACGCGGCCTCGTCCAGCGACAGATCGGACAACATGAGCGACACAATGAGTCTGCTGTCCTTGGATCCTAGTGTCACCTTTGAGCAAACGATGACCACAGATCTGGATGTCGCCGTACTACATGCCTCGCCCTTTCTGTTGCGTCTTCCAGACAAGCGCTACGTTCCTCTGCCCGAGCTCAACATCAAACAGGAGCAACACCGCCTGCATCGCATCTTCGCCGACTCGAACCGCGCACTGCGCACCGTCCATGGCGTGATGTCGGTGGATTCTTTGCGGAAGGTTTTGGATCGAAACGTGACGGTACTGCATTTCAGTGGCCACGGAGGTGGAGCAAACGAAGCGGACCAGGACTTCCTCGTGTTCGAGGACTGCAATGCGACTGGACTGGGCCACCTCATCGACTCCACCACACTACAGTCGATTCTTTGCAGTGGTCTGCCTACACCATCCCTGAAGCTCGTCTTCGTGTCGTCCTGCCACTCGCGCCAAGTTGGCGAAGTCTTCCTCCGCGCAGGCGTCCAGCACGTGGTGTGCGTCAAACAAAACGAAAAGATCCTGGACGAAGTCAGCATCATCTTCTCACAAGCCTTTTACCACGCGATTCTACACGGGAAAACAGTGCCCCAGGCGTTCGCCATCGCCCAGACTCGCGTCAGTGCCGAGACAACCAACCAATACAAAGTCGAGAGCGGCAAGTTCGTGCTCCTTCAGCGATGCAGGTGCGATGCTCTGGAGCGCCAAGACGACTGCAAGTGCGTCTTCGAGCCTCTATTTTTTGACGTTCCCCATGGCAAGTTCTTTAACTTGCAGCTCCATAATGCTCAGAAGAAGTACATGCTTCCAGCACTGCCCCCGATTGTCCTTGGTCGTGAAATGGAGCTCCACACATTGGCCATGTTGGTTCATGCCCCTGGCGGCCTCGTAACCGTTCGTGGCGCCCCAGGTATGCTTCCATCCGTTAGCTATGCAGGACCTCAGTGTGAATTCAGGCATTGGGAAGAGCACGGTAGCTCTCAAAGTCGCCCATTTCATGCATGAGCGTCAAGTGTTTGAGGATGGGGTGGTCTTTTGCAACGTTCGCGGCCTCACGACCGTTGAATCACTCGAAGCATCCATCCGATCCACTCTTTTGGCTGAGGATTCGATGAACGTGAACGCCCCTTTGCACACTTTACTCCATCATACTCTGGTTATCATCGACCACGTTGACGACACTTGCCGCGGACCGTTTCGAAGCTTTTTGGTCAGTCTCCTGTCGCAGTCCCCACGTGCGAAATTTGTCGTGACGTCGACTCAGGTTCGCCTCGCATTCTTGCTTGCAGAGAGAAAGGATTGACAAGACACTCTAGGCACTGGACATGACGGACGAGAAGGTCGTCGAGCTGCACCGCCTCGCGCCTTCCCAAGCGGCCCGTTTGTTTCTGAAGAAAGCTCCTCGTGCATGCCACCGACTCGACTTTCCCGAAGAAATCACTAAGCCGCTCGATGTTGAATTGACGCACCATCCCCTCTTAGCATACCTTGATGGCCATCCCCAGGCTATCGCTCTCTGTGCATCGCTCCTACAAGACAAAACATTACCCGAACTGACCCACGCAATCTGTTCCCAAACCACGTCCCTTCCTCCACTTATGACATCGCTCCAAGTCGCCATCTCGTCGTTGTCCGACCCAGACACAATGCGCTTCTTCGCGTTGCAAGGATACCTTCCTGCTGGCGCTCTCGCTTCGGACTACCGCGCGATGTTTGACCGGGATTGGGAGCGCCATGCGTCTGTCCTTTGCCGGTACTCGCTTCTGCAGAAGCAGCATCACTTCCCCATCAAGTGCACGCCGCGACAAAAGGACATCCACCACGAAGCGCTCTTGGCCGCTTTGCAGGACTACGACAAATACGTCAGTGGCACAACGCGGACCATGCGGCCGGCCATGGAACGGAGCCGATCGTCCGTGGAAGAGTCGCTCCAGAAGACAATCTCACACGCCCACCTCCAGAGTTTGTCCATATTGTTTTCAACATTTCCGTTCATCACGAGCTACGCTCGGCGGTGGGTGCGCGCTCCAGATGCCATTCGATGGACAGCCCATTTTGCCAAGTCGATGCGGTGGACACACCAGTACATCGGGACGTTTTCGTCCTTTTCAAACGCCGCGTATTTGATTCTAGACATTCATGAGGCCAATGCGTGGAATTGCATAGAGCGCTACGAGCAAGGCAGCAACGACATGCCCAGCAACCTACCCACCGAACCAACCTCCGAACATGAGAGCTCGGATAGCCCAAATCAAGCTACGCCGGACGAAACATCGACTGGCCCATCTGGCGAAAAACCACCCCTTCGAAAGAAGAAGCGACAGCCCAAGTGGGCTTCAGCAACAGCTTCTCTCGCATGCTACTTCGCCCACACATTGTTCCTGGCAGGCCGACACGAAGGCGCATGTCGAGCCGTGAAAAGCGGACTTGATATCGCCAAAGCTCATGGTCTCAAGACTGTTCAAGCAAACTTGACGAAGCTGTGGGCAACAATCTTAGTCCAAGAAAAAAAGGTGGAGGAGGCCAAAGTTCAGTTCGGCCTCGCGCTGTTACTGTATAGAGCTGGGGACAACAAGATTGGCCAGGCATCAACGTTGACTGGCATTGGGATGGTGCATTCCCGCCAAGGCAACTTGCGGGCAGCCCACTCTAGTTTTACAAAAGCCCTCGCCTTGTACGAGTGGAGCAATCACGTCCTTGGACAACTCAACTGCCACCAGCGGCTCGGCCACCTCGAGAAGAAGTTGAAAATGGGAGATGAAGTTGAATTGACCCAACATTATGCTGCCAGCAGGCGTTTGCAAGGCGACTTGAACAACAAGAAAGAAGACGAGCTTGTGCGGTGGGTGGGTCACGAAATGAGTTTGTTGCTGGAAATATCGGTGGATATAACAAAAAGACTTCCGTCCAAGATCAGAACCGACGACGGGAAGCAACATGACGACGAAGACGTCAGCAGCTTTGCGCGGCGGAAGAGCTACGACAGTACCCGCCGGCGACCCATCGGTGGTGCCAAGATCTTCCTTTGATTCGACGTCTTCGTTGCCACACCAGGGTATAATGGTGATACAAACGAATGTGTGGATCACGACATTCATGGAAAGTCAGGCTTCTAAGAGCATGCTCTTTCATCAAGTTTGTTCGTGCATACGGGCTCCTATTCACTAGCGACGAGATGAGAATGCCTCTGATAACCTATTTACTACGACTGATGTAAGTCGCAAGCGAAAATCAAGTTTGTATCAAGCTACGATCGTCAAGCACGACTTGTTTGTGTTGTCTGCGTGGCCGACAATCATCATCGAGGAACCAATGGCCATAATTTGTTCAAATCAACACAAAATCATCTCAAATTTCGTATGTGGACAATATTATGCATAACACACAAGGATCTATCAATAGATTTCTCCAAAACCAAGTAATCTTTGAGATATACTCGAACAAAAATTACAAAAAATTGTCATTTTCAACTGTGGAACTTAAAGCCCTTCCATAACAAATATATACCCGTAACCGAGCGATATAAATAGTCGAAGTTTTACTAGAAACAGCTGGTGCAAGCAAATCCCTGAGCAGTTGACGCAAGGTCATTTTGCAACCTACGCAATGAACAAGTCCGGGGTTGAACAAGTCGTTGCTTTTGTCAAGTCTGAGCGCCCACGTGCCCTTACAAAGGATGAAAGGCTCGACATTTTGCGACTTTATGCCTTTCTCCGTCACGCTGCGGTCACATATGTTGACGTCCAGGTCGGTCGAATACTCGGTCACAGCGAAATAACCGTAAAATAAGTCTGGCGTGATTACATGCTCGAAATGTCTGTTGTTGTTACTCCACTTCCCGGCAACGCTACTGTCCACGCAGTCTGTGTTCCTTGCAACCAGTACGTCCATGGTCTCGTGCAGCAATTTGTACGGCAGCGCCGCAAAACTCGCACCCGCACTGTTGCAAAGGACG